TACCCCCACCTCCTTAGAAAAGAAAAAAATCAGGCTACGCCCCTGAATTCAGACACGTGCATCGGATCAAAAGAAGGTTGTTGGTGTGATTAAAAAGAAAACTAAACATTTGTTCTGACGTTTTGAGCGGGTACCGTTTTTTGGGAAATGCCGGTCCTCAGTGACGTTCGAAACGTCTGGCTAAATATTGCTATGCTTTGTTTTTTTCACTGCGACCTATTCATCGCATACATATGTAAACAGCGTCCAAGTATGGGTCCTTCTGTTTGCATCCTTGCCTAACGCGCCGCATTATTCATAAGATTGTGATTCTGAAAGTTTCTTAAACGCACTTTGCCTTGTTTGCCTGAACCAATTTTCTGACCTGCTACTCCGCGTAGCTAAGGGAAAAGGGTTTGTAAAGAAAGTAGAGATGAGAAGTTTCTGTCTTAATATCTCTCTCTCTCTCTCTTGTCTTGCGTGAAGCAGTCAAGTAAAACGTACGCTATACAAGATATTTGCATCTGTTTCTTTTTGCTTCTTTTTTTCCTGTAACGGTTCGTATTCATGCTGCTGGTATTGCGACACTTTGTTCACCAGCAGCACCGGTTTGCCAAATTGGCCTTGAGAAATATTCCATCCAACCCACGAAAGCAGTTGCGTCGGTTGCCCACTGCACGGGCGTCGAAGCGATGTATTCAAATTTTATTCCGGCGTTGCAACGCGCGCCAAGTTCCTGTCGTCATGCGCGCTGGATTATGAAGAAAAAGAACACGAACAAAAAAATAAAATAAACGATTCGTTTATTTTTTAATTCATTGTGCCCATGCGAGCGGGATAACTGACAGCTACCCCTTCGGCAGCAAAACGCCACTATGCGAATTTCTCAGAAACGAAAGCTTCTAAGTAGGAAGAAAAATGTGTCCTTGTCCGGGGTTTGAACCCGGAACCAACGCTTTTACGGACGGTCGCGCTACCAGATGAGCTCAACATGGCGCGAGGGCGAACCTGTCAAAAAGTCGAAGTGCGTTAACCCAATAACTGCAAAATATTCGCAATATTGCGCTTCCAGTGGACGCTAACGACAATCGCTTCCTGAAACAGTGATTCTAGTGGAAACTTAAGGGCCGGTTTTGCTTTGTTAGACGCTACGTCAATGAGAAGAGGTTAGTCTGTTACTTCCCATTAACATTAATTTGACGGCTTGTCATATATAGTGTATCTATTTAGTAAGCGAGTACCGTGCTATCCTCGTTTGTGAGGGTTTAACGGAGTCGAAAGACAAATAATTATATTACATGCGGTTGAAAAAACCAGAAAGGCACATCGTTTATTAAGTGTTAACAGCAGAAAAATAGACTGTAAACCATCGCCCCGGGGATTAAACATGCTTCCTAAACAGTACAGTGCAGTAGAGTTACGATAAACTGGCTGCACCGTCACAGGCTACAGGGAATGCAGCCTGACATGAATGAGCGTTTAACATAGACCCGACGCCCACCCGAAAAAAAAAAAAACATGTCACAGCGATGCCTATTATAACTTCACGTATTTATTTTTTTTTTTAGAAATTTCACGACGAAGGACAAATTTCGTGTATGGTAACTTGTGCAAAAAAAATATTGGCATTAATAATTTACGAGAACAGGCTCAATCGTGTAGTTAAGATCAGTGGCTTAGGCATAAATTTGTTTCAAGGTTCGGGGGCACCTTCTTTACCTAGGGGGGGGGGGGGGGGGGGCAGGCAAATGGTCATTTTGCGCCCTGTCTTCCACGCGAAATAAAAAAAAAATGAGAGAGAGGGTGTGTGTTTGTGGGGGGGGGGGTGCCGGTTTCTGGCTACGCCACTGGCTCGGACTTTTCGAAATTTAACGTAATCTATGCAGTCCGGCTCGGTGGATCAGTAGAGGGTGCTCGGACGGCCGCTGCAGTTGCGTCTGACGGAGGTGAAACGGCAGAGGGAGCCACCACTACGGCATCCCGTCATAACCATATGGGGGCTTTGGGACGTTAACCTCCACGCATCGATCAAAACACCGATATTATTAACCTATGTGCGCAGAAACAAAAAAAAAAGCGGCTACCGCATAGCGCGGAGGTTCCGCTTGTTGGGCCCGTGCTTTGAGCGTCCTGCCTGACCCGGTTGCTATGGCGACTGATAGCACAGCACTTATCAGCAGCCGGGAAACGAATGCGTTCGCGGACCGTCTGAACAGGAGCACGTATTTTGTTACTGTTTTTTTCCATATCTTGTTCGAATAAGGCGACTGCATTTAGCGCCCTATCTTCGGGCTTCCTTCATTTCCTTTGGTTGCGATCCAGCTGGTACGGCGGAACAAAAGCGGATATCGCAACCGACTCGACGTGGAGGCCGCACTCGCGAATATGTCTTCCTAGCGACGACTCGATAAGATTTATAGGGCAGCGTAGAGTTTCGGCGTAATCATCCACTAGTGAAATGTAAAGACTACGCAATGGATAGTGGAGCACGGAGAACAGAGTGTGGTAAAACAGTTAGGAGTTGTATTTAGAAGCCAGTGTTTCGTTGGCTCTCTTCCATCCAGAGACGTAGCCAGAACTTTCTTTAGAGGGGTGGTAATGGTGGTGAAGGGGGGGGGGGGGGGTTCTAACGATAAACCATATACTTTAAACAGGTTTGTGCGTGTAATTGCGTATGCACGTATACATTTAATTAAACACGTATATGCGCCTTCTTCGAACTGCTGTTTACATTCTCGACGTTTCAACGGGAACCCATCTTTTCAAGAACAATATTTGCAATATTGATAACGACTGTGTGTGTTCTCTTGTACCATTTTAAGAGAAGAGGGGGAGAGGATGGAAAGAAAGGGAAAGAGTAACTTAACCAGAAAGAAGGAAAAAAAAACATGATGCCAAGGGGTTCAATACGATCTCACCTAACGCGAACATGGGCACATGCACATAACGCGAACATGCATATCATGCGTAACAGGCACACGTACAAACGCACGCACGAACATACATAAAGTACGGTTGAAACCTCCGCCCCCCCCCCCCCCCCGAATTCATTATATGCACTGGCTCTTTTATGGAGAGAAAGAGATGCGGAAATATTGCACAGAATCAGGTGCAACACCACGCCAAAGGAGTGGGCTGCAACGGCATGAGGGTGGCTTTACGTCACATGACGTAACCCCAGAATTTGTGACGTCATGATTATGTCGCCGCGAAGACGTCGCAGCGATGGTCCATTTTCCCGTTTGATGAGGCATCTAAGGATTTTTGCCTTTAAACAGTTGTTTTAAAAGGGCGCATCTACTATTATACGTAGAACCTTGCGGCCAGGGGCGGTGCCAGGATTTTTTTTTTTTCTTTTAGGGGGCACTCATGACAAGTGAGTTCCATCAGGGGAGCAGGAAAGCTAGGAACCTATGCGTTGAGTTTTGACTGTAATTGCTTTTTTTTGGAAAGGGGAGGGGCAGGCGGAAGTTAGAGAGGGGGCTCAAGCCGCCCTCCTTCCCTACCCTCCGCTGGCGCCACCCTTGAAACGGGCACCGATGTAAACAACCGTATTTTCTTTCATACATCCAGCACTGTCTAGCACTTGTTTGTAATTATTCGTGCAGAATTGCTTGTGGACATTGCGGGGCTCTTTTAGTCAAACTACGCTGATCACCAGACGAAGCCAACAAAACAGCGCGACCGGCGTGAAAACCGAATCGGTTCCGACCTTTAAACTTGTCCCTATCGCACGAAACATCCGGCTTCTTCGTGGTTGTTCCGACACCGGAACGTCTCTGCGCGTGTCGAGACGAGATAGCACGTTTGCACGACGGAGTCGGAAAGCTCGCCTAGCGAGGCTACGAAAGAAAAAAAAAAATGGCAGAGCCCACGTACAGTGGGAATCGATGATATGCGAAGCGCGAATAAAGAAGGCTGATATGTCGCTTTAAAATCAGCACAACGTTACGAGGTGGAGGTAAATTATGCCGTACACGACTTCCCTGTGATGATTATCACGTTTGGAAGTGTCAGTTTACCTTCGTAACCTATTCACGTCACCTGATACCAAGTTTGGTATATGTGGAGCTAGTGAAACGGCCGCGAGCACGCTATCGAGCGTATCATGTAGTTCAGTTTTACATGACACGTATGTCGTGATCAACATGTTTGCACGTGTCATTTACATTCGTCGTCAGTTCACGTCACGTGATACCAAGTGGGTAACTAGTGAAACGGCCGCGAGCACGCCACTGAGCGTAGAATGTAGTCATGTTTTACACGACACGCATATCATGATTATCATGTTTGGACTTGTCATTTACCTTCGTCGTCTATTCACGTCAGGCAATACCAAATTTGGTATGTGTGGAGCTAGCGAAACGGCCACGAGCACATCATGAGCGTGGCATGTTTTCATGTTGTTACATGACACGCATCTCATGATTATCACGTTTGCACCAGCCGCATACCTTCGTCATGCATTCACGTCCCGTAACTAGTATATGTGAAGCTAGCGAAACGACTGCGAGCGCATCATGAGCGTGGTATGTAGTCATGTTGCTACATGACATGCATGTCATGATTTTCATGGTAGAGTCCGCCACTTGTGTTCGCCATGCAGTCATGTCATACCATGCCAATTTTGCAACATGTCATGTGAACGAAACCACCACAAGAGCAGCAAGACCATGAAATGTAAATCATGACATAACTGTCCTGATAGTCATGCTATGCCTAGTCAATTATACTCTTCATGCAGTCATGTTATGCCATACCGAATTTGGTATATAACCACCTACGAAATGTTCAGGAGAGCTAAAATTCGTAAGCGGATAGATAGATAGATAGATAGATAGATAGATAGATAGATAGATAGATAGATAGATAGATAGATAGATAGATAGATAGATAGATAGATAGATAGATAGATAGATACGCTCAAAGTCGCTGAAGTTCGCTAAGAAATGCTTCGCATTTAAAAAAAAGAACGCGAGAGGAGACAACTGGAACGATGAACTCAAATGATGAACACTCACCCTTGTGGTTCGTGACACCGAGGCCACAAGAAGAGGCGCGCTTTTGTACTCTCTGGAAGTCGAAAGAATGTAGCCCCACGGTCTGTCGTCGATGGCGACTGCGCGGGCTGTGCAAACGACGCCGCCAAAGCCAATGAGCTCGTTGCTGCCGGCTCGCCAGACCCCGCGAGCGACCTCGGAAACTCGCTGGAAAGTTGGAAAGGGAGTGGCCGGGGAGAGTAAGTGGAGAGGATGACACCAGCTGCTCAAAGGCAGGCGGCGGAAGTAGGTGTACCAAGGGAGTGTTTCCACGACGCTGCCAGCAGCAGGGGAGTCAAAAGTTCGCTTTTAGCGTGTGGCAGCTTGGGCTAGTTGGTAGGGCATGGCGGTAGTTATAGCGCGAGAACAAAACGACGACACAGAGACAAGAAGGACACGAAGGACACGAGTGCTCCTTCGTGTCCTTCTCGTCTCTGTGTCGTCGTTTTGTTCTCGTGCTATGACTATCGTCGCTTTAGCGGCTTTACATCCTCCTTAAGAGTGTTCTGCGCATGTTTGACTCTCTTGTGGGACTCTTGTCAGTGGGCAGGAGGAGGAGGGAACGAGAGAGGCGGAGCGAGATAGCTGTTTCTTTCTTTCTTTTTTCCTTCTGAGGAGGTATTTCCTACTTTCAGTGCTGCTAGCCAGCGCTCTCTCTCTCAAAAATATAATAAAAAAGACCCTCTTATTTAGCCTCATGCTGCCTATTGTGGGATCGTAATACAGTGGCGTCGCCCTCCGGCATCTGCAGCTCTTGCAAACACGAATTCTCCGAGCACTTTGTTATCTGTCGTAGCACCCGCTTTCGAAACTCGGTTCGCAGTTCGTTTTTTTTTTTTTTGCCAATTCTGTTCGAGAGGAGAGGCGGGGATGCCAGAGAAGGGGGGGTATGTGGACTTTAATATTAATTGATTATTATTATTATTATTATTATTATTATTATTATTATTATTATTATTATTATTATTATTATTATTATTATTATTATTATTATTATTATTATTATTATTTCGCTGGCAAGAGCAGTAAGCAAAAAATAAAAAACCAGCACTTAGAGGGGCCAACAACTGGTCCAAACGTGTGATTGGATCCTGATCAACATGAAGACGCCATGAATTAGAGCGACAGATTAAAGCATGCTTTTCGCGACGTAAGTAGAGTTTATGTTTCTGAACCGCGTTTGAAAATCCCAATGAACAGGTGTGTCGAGCAGCCTAAGAGCCTTGAAGATGAATTATGAAGTATTTCACTTTGATATATATATATATATATATATATATATATATATATATATATATATATATATATATATATATATATATATATATATATATATATATATATATATATATATAAGCGAACAGTCAGCTTGATGATAGTTCGTTTTATAAGCGACTCGAGCCCGATCCGACTGAGGATTATAAAGCGATATTAGACGGCACAATAAGAAAACTAATAAAGGAGAAAAAACTAAATGATAGGGCAGCTTCTCTAATCCCTCTTAGTCCGGCAGCTGGTAGGTTCTATTTGTTGCCGAAAATCCATAAACACAACAACCCTGGTCGCCCAATTGTTTCCGGCATAGGTACCGTGACAGAAAACTTGTCGCGTTACGTAGATAGCCTGATAAACCAGATACCCCCTACGTTCCAGTCATTTCTGCGAGATACTAACGACTTCCTTTCTGATATTGCCAGCCTTATTATACCTAACAACGCTCTCCTTGTAACTCTCGATGTTGCGTTTCTCTACACAAGCATACCGCACCTGGATGGTATAAGGTCCGTGGTTGAGGCTTACGATCACTCCGCTCTCGACAAGTCCATTGATAGCTCGACTATAGCTATACTTCTTGAAATGATTCTTCAGTACAACAACTTTGAATTCAATGGAGTACATTATGTTCAAGTAAGTGGTACGTCTATGGGTACTAAGATCGGGCCAAGCTATGCAAATATATTTATGGGATCCCTTGAGAACAAATTCTTGTCGGGTCGTTCGCTAAAACCTTTTTATTATAAAAGATTTATTGACGACATTTTCATGATTTGGTCACATGGAGAGGAGGAACTTTTGTCTTTTATTTCGGACTTTAATAATGCTCACCCTTCCATATCCTTTTCGCACACATATTCACCAGAGACCATTAACTTTCTCGATGTCACAGTATGTCCCGATAATGCAAAATTGAGCACTAAACTGTACCGCAAGCCGACTGACAGACAGAGGTATTTACACTTTCAAAGCAGCCACAAAAGGCACTGCAAATCCAGCATACCTTACAGCCAGGCCTTACGCTTTAAGCGAATTTGCTCTGAGCAATCTGACTTTGATAATAACTGTAACCAGCTACGCACTGCACTTCTTAAACAGACATATCCGCCCAAGTTAGTCGATGACGCAGTAAGGCGTGCCGACGCACAAGACCGTACAGCACTCTGCATCCCCAAGAAAAAAATTGCCCGCAGCTTCCCTCGGGGGAACACTAAGGAGGATGCGGAGCATATAATTGGTTAACGGGGTGTTAAAGTGCGACTTACTTGGGTCGATGGCTAAATTGGTTAACGTGGTTGTGAAATGGGGTGTTAAATTGCGACTTACTTGGGTCGATGGCTAAATTGGTTAACGTGGTTGTAGGAGGGGGTGTTAAATGAGTGAACACGTACACACGTATGCGAAAGGGCGGCGCTGGTCGAAGGGACGTCGATCATTGTGTTTGTGGATTCGTTGGAATTCATTTCACCGCGACCTTGGACGTCGACGCGCCGTAAAAACCAACGGACGAGCGGCAACTGAGCGAGCGAGCGCCGACCTTGAGTATATATACAGCGTGACGGCGCATGCACTGTCAGCTGTTGAATGTTCTCGAAGCGCGACGCCACATGCGCGTCCATTGGAGAATCAGGAGAATTGTAGATGTCGAACGCGGTGTGTAGAGGAGGAAGGGTGCACAGATGGTGGAGGAGTGAAGCGCGCGCGGTGTGTAGAGGAGGAAGGGATGCACAGATGGTGGAAGAGTGGGCGACGGCGCGACGGCGCATGCGCGCGCGTCAGCTGTCGAATGTTCGAGAAGCGGTGCGGACGGCGCGGACGGCGCACTACAAGGCGCGAGTATAAGATGCTCCGCATCTAAAATCCTAAAAGTGATTCACAGGTTAACCTGGTTTTAACCCATAACGCAGCGGCACCTAACGTCGCATCAATTTTCCGTAAACACCAAAACATACTTATGCAGAGCGAACGCCTTGCAAAAGCGTTTCCAGAACCACTACGTGTTGTGTACAGACGAGGCAAAAATTTGCGAGATTTATTAACTTCCTCTAAAACCAGCCAGCAATAACGACCAGACGCTTGGTTGCCGTCCTTGTAAAAAGCCCCGCTGTAAAGTGTGTGCACACATGACGACAACAACACTGGCAGCCAGTACTGCGACGAACTTCAAGTTCAAAATTAAGGGCAGTTTTACTTGTGATACTGCAAATGTCGTATATTTGCTAGAATGCTCAATCTGTCATGTACAGTACATAGGTCATACTGAAACTGCTTTTCGATACCGCTTCAATAATCATAAAGCTCATGTGCATGCCCTTCCTAACTTACCGATTTCAAGGCATGTCACCGAGGCAGGTCATTCATTCAGTAACATGATAGCTACAATACTGGAATCGGGTTTTAAATCACACCATGAACGTGAAGTAAAAGATTCATTTTTAATTCATAAATTCAAAACACTATCTGCCGGCATGAACGAGAGCCCGGGTACGCTTACTTGCACATTGCCTTAGTAAATCGCTTTTTTGTTTTACTGACAAGTGTATATTCTTCGCACGATGTTGGCCTATTGTCAAATATTACCTACATAATGTAGGTGGCCTTTGTCGCTTCACCATTTACTCGCATCCATTTTGCTCTGCCTGCTTTGTGATTTTTTTTATCTCTCTAAACTTCTTTTTCTTTTTTAAAGGCTTACTGAATGCTTTTAAGCTGTGATTATCCCGCAGAACGTATGACCCAGTGAGCTACTGCATGCGCAGCCTGTTATTTTGCTGACCTGTTTAATTCCACACAAGTTGTAGGGTATCTAATACGTGCCAATTCACTATTGTATAATGATACGCGTTTTCAGCTGTATATGCACTATAGCCACGTACCTTTGGTGATATATAATCTTGTTTCCTAAACTACTGATAATGACTTAGCCGTGTGATACGCAAAGAAGCGTCTTATATATGTGCCCTGTGTGCCATGTGTAACCATTCACTACGACGAAGGCAGGCCCACCTGCCGAAACGTTAGTAAAACTAGTGTTTTTTCGCACGTTTGTCGACCTCTTTTTCTACCACATTTTCCACTGGATCCATTGAATTTCACCCCACCATATATATATATATATATATATATATATATATATATATATATATATATATATATATATATATATATATATATATATATATATATATATATATATATATATATATATATATATACCATGCGTCACGTAATTAGCGATCAAAGTATTATTGTCCGTCCCCGTTCGATTCTGTGCTACTTGCGAGGTAACCCGCAGGTCGCGTGTTCGATTCCCGGCTGCGGCGGCTGCATTTCCGATGGAGGCGGAAATGTTGTAGGCCCGTGTACCCAGATTTGAGTGCACGTTAAAGAACCCCAGGTGGTCAAAATTTCCGGAGCCCTCCACTACGGCGTCTCTCATAATCATATGGTGGTTTTGGGACGTTAAACCGCACAAATCAATCAATCATTACTTGCGAGGTAAAACAAAAGCGGTACTGCCTACACGACAACTATATCGAGCGACGGCGCATGCGCAGCACACCGCCCGGCACGAGTACACGACCCCATAGTCGCCGCGGATTCGAATTTTTTTATTATCAATGTTTGAAGGCATTTTCTGTCATATATGCCTATCTGTATTTATCCAGATGCATCTATTTGTATTTAACCAGATCTATGCATCTATAAATACAGATATATCTATCTGTATTTAAGATTCAAATACCACGGTACAGATACAGATATCGACACTAAAGTGCATATAAAAAGTTAGAAACTGTCTCATCGGACTTTCTGCACACCGATTAGTAACTCTCTAATTGAAACTTCTCGTTCGGTTTCGGTGCTTTAGAAAGTGGTTAATTAATTTGACACAGTTAAGCAAAACGCACAAAAATGGCGCACCTGCTCCATGCAGTAGTAAGCGACGTGCCTTTCTTCGCGTCATCATGCAATGCTTGGGCATAATTTTACACTCTGGATAGAGTTAGCTTGACCACCTTGCATACATGCATCTGGTTCGTCCAAATGCCGGTGCAGCAATGTTACAGCATAATGGCATACTCGTTGTTACTTTTCCCAAAAATAATAAAAAAAAACACTCGTTCGGACAGTCGAATGGTGTTCATAATGTCAATTCATAAATTCTGCTGGCCGTCAGTGGAACCAGATATCTGTAAAAATGATCCTGAAATTTTCTTCTCGACGGTGTTTAATTCGCTAAACTTTGCTATAGTTAATGTTTCAAAATCTACCTGACGTTGTGGTCTACTACTGGTTGTGGTGCTCACCCAAAAGGTGAGCTCTCGGGATCGAAGGTCGGGATCGAATCCCGACCACTCTGGCTGCATTAAAATGAATGCAATACGCTGGATGTTCGCGTGCTCAGATTTATATGTACGTTAAAGAAACCCGGGTGATCGAAATTTTCTAACCCTTCGCTACGGTGTCACTCATACTTATGTCATCGCTTTAAAATGTCAAACTCCACCAATGACACTATATTTCCGATATGCCTGCTTTAATGCGAATTTCGTGGTGGTTACTTGGTGGTTACTTACAAGTGGCGGGTTACATGGAACAGTCACCAAATACCGCTGCTTTGGTTATCGCGAGCGAAAAACATAGTAGGCTGCAATGTTTTGCGGGTTGGTTCAGTCACCGAAGAAGCACGCTTCGGTTCGCATAGTTTCGTTTTCGAATCGCATCCAGCGCGCCAGCCGGTCGCGCAAGTGAGAGTGGACGAGTGACCCCGGAAACCGAAACCATGGCAACACGAATCGGATACCTTGACTTGACAAGGAGCGTAGAAAAGACACGCCTGGTACGGCCGGTCTCGGCTCGCACGGTTCTCACAATGTCTCAAAAAGAAAGAAAGAAAGAAAGAAAGAAAGAAAGAAAGAAAGAAAGAAAGAAAGAAAGAAAGAAAGAAAGAAAGAAAGAAAGAAAGAAAGAAACGCCAGTAGAAGAACGACTGTCGCGGGAGGGAGCGTTGCCTGGTCAGACCGAATGGCTCAACATTAATGCAATTAACATTAAATTAAACACGAGTGCAAGTGCAATTAACAAAGTTGGCGAGTTGGTTGGCGAACATTGGGGCAGAATAGCACAAAACACGGGGCATGGAGAGAGAAGCAGAATTATTGAAGTGAAAAAATGTTGTCGCGTGGGGCAGCGATAGGAGCAGAATACAGCGCTGGCTACCGCGTTTTATTATCATTGTTTTATTTTATGCTTTTTTTAAACAAGGACATATATAGGCAGGAACGTAGAACAATTGAAAAAAAATTCCACCGACACTGTCATGCGACACGACCAGTCAGCATGAATATAAATTTCGATAAATATTAACAGTTTACATCGTGCCGTAAAAATCAGATGTCTTGTCTTTGACTGCATGCCTTTTCGTAAAACCCGCGTCTCACGGCATTGCGTAAACTGTTGTGTAAACTTTATTAACACTATGTTAACGTTTCGCAAACTGCGTTACGTAAACTCATTACACAATGCAGTGAAAAGTGACAGACTTTTTGCCTTTGTGTGTGTGTGTGTGTGTGTGTGTGTGTGTGTGCGTGTGTGCGTGTGTGCGTGTGTGTGCGTGTGTGTGCGTGTGTGTGTGTTGCGGCACCTAATGAAGCAGATCTCAATCCCGCAAGCCCTTACACGTGGCCTCCGAGATTTACTGCGGCGATCGAACAAGGTTACATGAACGCCACGACGAGTGAGTGCCTGGTATATATAAATCAAGTATTACTATCGCCTCGGAAATTGTAGAACTCTTGTTTGCGCTAAGTCGTGTCAGCACTTTGCCAGACATATAGTCCCAATCAGCACTTGTGTGCGCAAGGTTTTCCGCATAAGACTTTCCTAAACCATTTTTCCATGCCTATAAAACCAACGAGAGCGGACTCTGGATCTGCGATCGTTCGGACACTATGGGAATGATGGGTAGCCAGTTGTTTCCTTCCTCCATATGTGTAGCACACAAATTTGCCTATAGTTTTCGTGCTTGCGGGGTTCGAACGCACTTTCGGCTTTGTTTGTTGTTGTGTTTTGGTTTTGTTTCGGACAAAAGAACGCCCCTTTGTGAACCTCGTGACCCGATTTCAATTGGTACTCTTAAAAGGTTAAGGTGGTGAAGTGCAACGTACGGCGGAACATTTGCTCAGTGTCGTCTCTTAACAAAGCAGCTCTAGTCCACGCGAATCCAAAGGGAGACGAAAGTATGAAGATTAGACAAATTTGTGCACTACCCATCATTTCCATGTTCGCTGAAGCACCGTGAATTGCAGCTTCCATAGACACTAGCGCCAGAGTTCCCTGGGGTGCTATTCTGGACACTGTCTAATTCCGCCATATTGGAAAATTTCGTAATGGCGGTATTTTTAAGCCAATCAGAAAGGTCGTAGCACCTCACTTGGCCTGTTAGCATCGATCGATGGTGGAATCTGACATGAATGTAAACATTCGACAGAAGTCTGTCTGGTTGGGTATGAAAGCGGGAGATGATTTAGAACCCAACCAAAAGTTTTGTAGAAACCTGACGTTTCGAAACCAACTTGGTTCCTTCCTCAGGGGTGACTGTGGAGACTACGTAGCAGCGGCGTCTTTAAAGCACTCGCGGGGTGTATAATGACCCCCCTCCTCTCTCTCGCTTTGCCGTGGAGCGCAGTTGATGTGTCTACACTGGGGGAAGGGTTCCGAGGGATCGGTTGATGTTATGGGCTGTCCTCTGTATGTGCCAGGACTAGAGTAATAACCTTATCCTCCAGTTCGGCTCGCTTTGGTTTCGAAACGTCGGGTTTCTTCAAAACTTTTGGTTGGACTCTAAATCATCTACCCGAATCTGACAACATGGCGGAATTCGAGAATGTCCCGAATAGCACCCTTGCATGATGTCCCATAAGGAGGGGGCAGGCCAAGTTATTCGGCGCCCCACCAACAACCCCCCTTGCGTGCGCCTGTGCTTAGATGCGCACGTTCTATTAAATTAACAGTATTCAACCTTTGAGGAGTTATTTTTCAGTGCACCCAGTATCAGGGTGACCGTCCGTCTAATCGAATGGCTTTCTGTTGTTTCAGAAGTACCAAAAGAGGTGCGAGAGAAACGCAAGAAAGAGGTAAGAACCTGCCGGCTGGGACGCACGGCCGTGGACACAAATGTTTTCGAATTGTCTGCTGTCGCACTTGTGTATCATCACCACACAAACGACAAAAAAATAAATAAAAACAATCAGAAACAGGGAGAGATCACTTACTAATTGTAGAGGGGGATTCAATATAAGACATTTTTATTAATTTTATCATTTTGTAAATAACGAGGCATTTGATTTTAAAGACGTGGGGGGGGGGGGGTATTTTAGAATGTTTTTGGGTGGGTGAGAGGGTTCAGATCGCAGGGGATGGGTCTTAGACGTTTGTTTGTTTCACCTAGAATCATGGTTCACACCCACTCAGGGGGATCGGCCAAGAAAGCGCAGTGCATTTTTTTCTGTCAGCATTATAACTATGTGTAAAGAATTTGTATTATACTATGACTAACGTAAGAAAAAACTACGTAAAAAGAGCAAACAAAAAAATTTAAAGGTCAATTTGAGAAATTTTGAGATTTCATGTGTTGTGAGTACCACTCAGCTGCGTTTATTTCACCTCACAATTTAGAGTTTTCTTTTTTTGGGATAATAAATAATAGTTATTTGATTGAAGATCACAATGGGATACGTTTGGAGGCCTGAATATAATCGCAAACGGCATTGAGAGCATCCCTGTACTTTTTTTTTGCACTCCCTGTCTATATTCATACGAGGATACGTAACAGAAATAAGCCGATTTAGCTTATACGAAACGGCTCATGCCCCAAAACAATTATTTAAAAAATCGATTAATCAAAAATGATGATAGATAAATATTGTAGAAAAAAAAAATCTTGTCACTGTTTTCAGAGTTGTTTCATCAACTGGCCTGACTGGGCTACCGCTTTGGAATGATGATGCCTGAATATATTGACGGTGTGTTTGAGTTCGGTGTTTTTTTTTGTCTTTTTTTTCACCATCGAAAGCAGTTACAGTGAACATCTGTTGCGTGTGTACCCGCATGTGTCTTACCTGCGCTCTTTGAGTCACGTGTGAGTGCATTCTTGTTCATGCTGCGTACTACACGTAATCCCACACCTCCTCCTCTTCCCCCCCTCCGCCAACAAAACAAAAAAAGAAATGGAGCAGAAATTGTGCACTGAAATTTGCCTCAGTATACGCGTGTAGTACAATCCAAAGGGATGCCAAAATAAAATACTAAATCAATTTAGACCGACACCCTGAACTTAGGGCACCTAACCTTCAATCATTCCTGTCGCGATTATGAGTTTACGCAGAAAATTTCTCCTTTGATCCGCTCAATTCCTTCCCCCAGTGTAGGGTAGCAAACCGGACGTGCGTCTGGTTGACCTCCCTGCCTTTCATTTCTTCCATTCCTCCTTCGCGCCGGAATTCCTGGAAACAAGTGTCAGCGTCACGTTTTTAACCTTGAAAGCGTCTTTTGGTATTTCATCCACATTGGCTTATTAAAATTAAAGACGCCGAAAAGTGTGTGACGTCATAGCGCGAGCCTCAGCGGGAAATTCCATGTCGCGCCAAAGGCATCCTTGTGGCAGTATCCCAAGCCTGGGGAACCGAAGCCTAAATTCATTTTAAATACTCAACAAGTGCCTTTTTAACCTGGTATTTAAAATTCTTCGTCATTTCGTTAAGTTAAAACTTACCGCAGTCTGGAACACAGGCTCAAAAGCATATTACTTGTACTTAAATTGGATATTTTAGGTATACTTGCCATTTCATTTCTTTATTTTTGGTTTTAAATTCCATAGCTTACCTAGAATAACATTTACCAGTCTCTACGTTGCATTCTTGGCCAATCCACCAAAGTGGGTACGTGCCATGTGCCTAGGATAGCAAAGCAAAGCAAACCATGTCGCGTCGACATCTGCATTCCGTTCACGCAGATTTTCCTGCTTGCCAAGCGTCTTGTTAAGGCTTCGCTATTGTGAAAGAATATTCTTTACACGTGATAAACTGCTTCCTCCAGCGTGCTTCCTCTTTGAAGCCCGCCAGAGATATACGTGTGTTTCACCCGAATCAGAATAAATGTCACCCAATAATCCAAATGCGTCGTTGATGAAGTGTTTCTTGAACTACTTCATATACGGACAACTGCACTCGATTGCAGGGCTGTTCGAGGATTATCGCAGGGAACCTCATGCGCTAGAACATGTGCGTCTGACAGATTCAATCAGTTATAATAACTGACATATGCTATTTCCGTCGTGCCAGGAAAGTCGGTTTCTCCGCTGTACTGCCGTGTATCAGTGCCCCTGCTGTTCCGCCGAGCTTATGTCACAATTTGAAAGAAAATATGAACGGAAGAAACGACGCAGCGCTTCCACGGCAGCTGTGGAAAGCGGTCTCTCGCTTTCCATCCGCAGTCGCTCACATTTTTGACAATCTCAATTAAATGCCACGCGCACCTGCGTTACATGCACGGACAAAAGGTCATATCAAGCATAAATGGAGCTTAAACGTCACACTCCTCGCAGGGACTTATTTATAAAAATGCCTATTGCGACTGCATCGCTGACTCACGTGTCAATGCAAACAAAAGATACTTATTTGCTGCTATGCTATTTGAGAACACCGCAACAGGTCACGGGTTCGTATGAAGTTGCGGTCGTTGTCGACCCGTGCCGTGTATGCTGGCGATTGTGCTTAGTTGTGCAATAAGACATCAGTTGACGTACTGTCAGTGGTTTGTTATTAAAATGACTGCTCTGTAAAGATTGGTCAGGAAATCTTTGCGCTTGCGAATAACGAGTTGAGGTTTGTTCTCAGTACGAGTGGCATTGTTATTGTTCACACAGGTGGTAATAAAGATTCAGATTAAAGCAGTAGCGAAACCAGAATTTTTTTTTTGCGGGGTGTGTGCGTGTGTGCGGGGAGGGTGGGTTTTCAACCATATAACCATACTTTATGTGTATGTACATACACGTGCGTTTGTGTGTGTGTCCGTGTATATATATATGCAAGCAAAATTGAGAAAAAAATCGGGAAAAAGTTGGAAAAAACCTACCTGCAAACAACTATATTTAGAAAAAAACAACAACAAAAACCTGTCTTGTTTTTTTATGAAAGGCTGGTAGCGCCATCTAGGCAACGTTGCTTTTAATTTTTACTGGACTTAGTGAACAATGCTTGGTGGTTGTGTTGCAGTGTGCGCGTGCTTGTGGTGATCGTGTAAACATCAGCGGCAAAGCGAAGCGACCCACCTTCAAGAATGCAATCGGCGGACCAATGAAAACCCCGGGCCTGTCAAGACGCACTTGGTACGTGATGACATGCATTACTGCATATTACCCAGCGCAATACAAACCTGAACACCTAGGCCTAACGCACTGAGACCCGCACGACAAGCAAACGGACAACATGCGCCACCTATGTCCCGGCAAACATAACTAAAATCGGAACTCTCCCAGGCGGCAATTTCAAATAGAAACTGGTGCCCAGCCTTAAGAATAGCCTATCGGTAACATATAGCAAATAGAGGCAGAACAACAACACAAATCGAACATCACACCTACACAAAATAACACTACCATTTTATGAGAAATTATAGCAACATGACCCGGACTCGCCGAGGTGCCCCAACAAAAGGAACCAGTGCCCGTGTAGAGGAGGACTCGTCGGACGGAACAGTAATGGTAGAATGTGAGACCTGCCAAGAATGGGCAAACATTGATGACACCCCGTTCTCCAGCACACAAGAAGCCCAGGCAGGCAGATACACGTGCAACCTCTGCACGAGACTCGCAGCAATGCAGGCTTCAATCGCACTTCAAGAAATAAAACTGCGTGCCGAACACTCACAACAAATTAGCCAAATAAAGGCCGAGTGGGAAGCTGCTCAAGCGGAAGCTAAAATAGATAGGCAAAACCTACACACTTTGCTGAGCACAGAGCGCAACTTGCGTGAAAAACTCGAGGAAGAGATTGGTACCCTCCAAACCCAAATAAAAAAACTCGAACAGACAAACAGTACTCAGGACGCCCAAGAAAACGGAGACCAGGCTACCTCAACTCCTCGACACGACTCCGGGACACCAGAGCCAAAACACCCCTCAGACAAGCAATTTCGCAGCCAATGGAAGGAAGACATTCCATCACAGGGCACAAGCAGGATAAGTGAAGACATTGAGCACACAGTTGAGCTAGCAGAGGAAGGCAATCCTGGGACACAAGTGGGCAAAAAAGGCCGACCCTTGAAATCAGAGAACACCAGCCAGAAACAGCAGCAGCTCAGCGCTGACCATAAACAGAAACATCCCTATCCTCAAACGCAGTCAAATGACCATCCACCACAAAGCAAACGCACTGTAGTCCTAGGCGACTCCAATGCCCATCGATTGAAAAAGCACCTCCGTAAAGCTATACATGATCAAAGACTACGCATCACTACAAAATCTGGTGCCAATCTTGAAGAAACACTTCACCGAGCTGAAGGAGAAATTCAGAAGGCAAATGCCACCAACACAGAGCTGCAACTAATAATACATGTAGGTACTACTGATCTTTTAAATAAAGCAGACATTAAAAAGACCACTGACCACCTGAAGCAACAACTGACTTACTGGAGCCAAAAGACACCCAAACACCACTACATAGTCAGTGCCATCCCTGAACCGAAAGCAAGGGGTCAACAATTTGCTACAGCATGCCAAACATGGAACACGGCAGTTCAAACGGCGTGTACAGCCTTGGGCCCCAGTGTGCGGTTTATGTCAGCAGCCGCCCAGCTAACCGCAGATCACCTGGATGATATCCACTACTCGGAACAGGCAGCGGACCAGGTTGGCAGCCAACTAGGTGAGGCCATTAAATCTTTTTTATGGGACAAACAACCAACGCGCCCACAACACTGGAGACGATCAACAAGACCAGATCAAAGGACAGTGCAAACGCTACTGAAAGCAATGACAACAGCCCTAGGCAAACTAGGACAGAGAAACCGGCACTGGTAAGCAACCAAGCAGGCAAAACCATACGCACAACCCCCCCCCAATTTCAGTCCTCCAGAGATCATTGTCAACCACTTTCCAGAAAAAGAAGAAACAGAAGAACAAAGCAGAGTGAAGTGAAAAAGAACTCACCATATGCCTACTAAACATGCAAGGAACAAACAAACTCAAGTGGGCTGAACTCCAAGACCAAGTGAACAGACAAAAAATAGATATCTACGCTCTAACGGAAACTCACCTGCGGGACGACGAACAACCTCTGCTCCCGGGGCTAGTATGGCAAGGAAAGAACAGAAGTAAAGGACAAAAACGGGGTGGAGGCATTGGTTTTATTACACCGAAGAGAAGCACTGTAAATGGGGACTGCCAGGACAAGGAACACATGTGGATAAAAATAAAGATTGACACACGTGACCTGTACATTTGTGTCATATACATGGCAACAGGCCTCGAGGAACAAAAGTGGAATGACAGCATTTACGCATGCCTCAAGAAAGACATTGAAGAAACCTACAAAGGCCAACCGGTACTACTGATGGGAGATTTCAACTGCCACATAGTAGAATTGGATGGTCACGAAAAAGATGCTGCTGGCTTCCGAAAATTAATTAAACAATGCAACCTACAAATAGCAAACCTCCATCCAGCTTGTGAAGGCACCTACACATGGTCACGCAGAGCTAACAAATCTGCTATAGACTACATACTTTACAATCAAGAGGTAGTAAGGCAAGATATAAACATCACAGCTCTGTACATAGACGAAGACAAAACAAACAGCTGTGGAAGTGACCACAACCGAATGAAACTGTGCCTCAGACGCCATCAACCCCATCGAGTAAACCGGCCTGAAACTACAAAAGCTCACTGGCGAGTGAAAGAGCAAGAGCGCCTGGATGAATTTTCCAATAAACTCGAGTCAACATTAACAGAACCTCTAACATACGAGGAATTCGCAGAAAAATGCCTGTCAGTAGCACAAGAAACCATTGGGAAAACTAGTGAAAAAAAAAGGACCAGAAACACACCTTGGTTTGATGGAGAACTGAAGACAGAAATTCGCATTCGCAAAGAATTATCCAGAAGGCACCGTCATACGCCCAATGAGTCGACAGAAAAAGAGGTAATTTGGAAGGAATACCTGGCCCAAAAAAGAAAAGTAAAGGAAATGGCCGCAAAAAAGATAGACCAGAAATTCCAAAAAGAAGAAGAAAACCTGCATAAGGATCGTAACCATTACAGTCAGAAGTTTTGGGCATACATAAGGACACTGGAACCAAAGGACACCCTTCAGGAAGATTCACTCATACTACTTACTGAAAATAGCATTCCTCTACATACCAAAGAAGAAATTGAACAGCACATAACTAAACATTTTAAAAATATGCAAACCAATCCAGTAGATCCACCACCCCAGATCAGCAGTAGAAAAAAGGACAAGACCAGCACACCTGAAGAAGAAAAGCTGACTGGACCAATTTCTAAACTAGAACTAAAGAGACGCATAAATGATCTAAAAAACCAGAAAGCAACAGGACTCGATGATATACCCAACGAATTCCTGAAAGCATTCAAAACAGAGGCAAAGGAAATGCTACGCGGCTGCCTCAACGACATTCTGGCAAGCAGAAAAATACCAAGAACTTGGAAAGAAAGCCGGGTAAAGCTGATTCACAAGGGAAAGGGAAAGGAAACAAGTGACATTGGGGCGTATCGCCCCATAACAATACTGAGTAGCATTCTGAAACTCTTCAATACAATCCTGAATCGCAGGCTACAAAACCACTGTGAAAAAACCTTAATCTTGTCAGAATCGCAAAATGGATTTCGCCCAAACAGACGGACAAGTGACCATATCTTTACCCTAACCCAGGCAATAGAAATGAAAAACAGAGACAAATCTCAACTATACCTGGCATACCTGGATCTACAACAAGCATATGACTCAGTGCCGCACTCACGACTGTGGGAGAAGCTAGAAAAAATTAATATTGAGGAAGACTTCATCAAATTACTAAAAGCACTATATGCAGAGTGTACGGCAGTGTATGAACTGGGCAAATATAAATCTAGACAGGTGCAACAAAATATTGGACTCAAACAAGGGTGCCCACTATCGCCAACATTATTCAATATTTACATTAACAGCCTACTAGAACAAGTAAATAGAGAAGGACCAGGGCTACGTCTTTCCACCGTAACAACTGAGCGCCAAGAAATCTACACTAAAATTTCATGCTTGGCATTTGCCGATGACATCGTATTATTGGCTGAATCCCCAGCGGACCTGCAACATCTCCTCGACATATGCTCTCGCGTAGCCCACGAAGATTGCCTCACATTCAACACTGACAAAACACAATGGATGGGCATAAACATTGATGACAAAGACATAACATTCACCATCCAAGGCAACACCATCAAGAAAACAGCAACATACAGATATTTAGGCATAACAATATCAGACCAAAAGAATTACCTTGACAAACACCAAGAATTACTCCTAAAACAATCCAACCGCCTAAAAGGTAGGGTGTGGCACCTGTCACGGCATTCCTACAACCCCTACAGGGTAGGCCGCACACTTTGGAAGACTCTTGCCGTGCCTGCAATAACCTACGCAGGTGACACATTGGCGTACTCTACCCAAACAGTGCGATGTTTGGACCGCCACCAAAATGAACTGGGGCGCTGGCTACTGGGAGGCAGCTTTGCAACAGCAAACGCAGCAGTAACAGGGGAGTTGGCCTGGTCAACTTTCGAAGCACGCGAAGCAAGGTCAAAAATACAATATGCGGGCCGGCTAAAGTTTCTACCAGAAACAAATTACAGCCAGCGCATATACCTACACCTCCGATACAGGGGCATAAAAACACAGTGGATGAAACGACTGGCTTCTCTGGAAAATAATTCGGCCATAACACAAAACTGGAAGAAGCAAAATCGGAACGAGAATGGCGTATAATAACAAAAAACACTATAACCGAAGCCAGCACAGAGATGTGGCGCACGTCGGCGGCAAAGAAAAGGAGCCTACAGTTATACCTCGAATACAAGCAGGCTCCAGACCGTGAGCCATTTTACAGGGGCGACCGGGAAAGCGCCCTCCTGTTCCAAGCCAGGACGGGGTCACTGCCCACGCGGAAGCGGCATTGGGAACTGTTCGACACGGACCCGTCGTGCCGCCTATGCGGGGCCACGGAAGAAAACCATCCAACATATCCTGATGGATTGCCCGCGACTCGGAGCGAGGGACCTACCCAAGATAAACCTGGCGGAATATCTGGGTCTCCCAGATGATCCCGTCGACTCCCGAGTCGAACACACCGAGAGTGCCAAGCGACGTCTAAAACTCTGGGACAGACTGTGCTGGCAGGTGGACAAACACCCCGACAGTGTCCAGCGCAACGAAGGGCCGACAGAAAATATCTAAACGACGCCGACGCCACTGGATAGACTTGGCCGAGGGCACGTTTCCCCTGGTGGCGAAACGGGCAATTTACTACCAGACCTTTCTTTCTTCGAACAGTAAAGTGGAAAACGTGTGAGTGCGTGTTCGCGTGAAGTGCGTGTAAAACACAAAATGTTTTTTTTTTTTTTTTTGACGGTGGCGCGGCAAGCGCCTGACTGGTGATGTGTGTGTGCGTGTGTATGGATGTGCGTTGAAGCGCACAACTTTGTCCTGTGGCGCTGCTGGCGCCTGCCCTGTGCCAAAAGGGATTAGGAGCACCTACTTACTTACTTACTTACTTACTTACTAATTTTGCCAGTGCTGTTTCTAGATGAAAACAGCGTAGGTGTTCAGTTGTAGTACGGTATTAGTTGAATCGGTTTCGTGTCTTGCTTAACTTACGTGCGCGGTTACAGTTAAACGTAAAATTTATTTCTGTCAAGGCATGTTACGCACCCCGCGAAAATACGACGGGAGGCTGCTTCCAGTGCTCTAAACCCCGCAAACGCTCGCTCCGTCGTTTGCCTTCCGCGTTAGCGGGTCCGACGACATGTCGCTTGAGACGGACGACACGGAGCAGCAACCGTGATGGAAGCTATGACAAGTGCATCGCGCGATCGCCTTCCTGTGCTCGGCCCTGTTTTTCCAAGGGGCCTGGAGCTTCCGCGACATCACGGACGAAGTATTTGGCGGCGCCCAACCGAGCGTTCTGGGGGCCTTCGGGGACTTCAACTCCGACAAGCTCACCGATCTCTTCTTAGCGTCCAACGACTCGCACAGGCTTGAGATATGGGTGGCCACGGGCGTGAAGCCTTCATTCTACAAGTCCGACGTCCAGTGCGCCGTTCCGGGCGTCATTACGGGCATCATGCCTGGCTGACTTCGACGGCGATTCTATCATGGACGTGCTAGTGACATCCAAGGACAGCGGTAGCAAGCCGGACGTCGTCGATGTTCGAATCTTCTGGGGACGCCTTCGAATGGGCGTCGACTGCGCGAACAGCACGCACGTGAGCGGCGTAGGTTGGCAGCCGCTGCTGTTCGACTACAACGGCGACCGGATCGTCGACCTGCTCTCCGCGCGCACCGAGGAACCCCGCAATAGAACGGTGTGGACGTTCGGTCCTAGCAGGACACCTACAATGGTGGCCCTCGGGGTAGGCACGGACGCGCTCTCCAAACCGCACTCGAATTCCTTCGTCGACCTTAACGACGACATGACGGCGGATCTCATGCTGACCGCCCACTCGTCCATGGAGGTCTGGTACTGGGTCGGCAACAGCACCTTCAAAGGCCCGAACATGCTCGAGTACCCTCCTGACGCCGCGGTCAAAGGTCAATCCCTGTTCGTCGATGTAGACGCGGACGGCGACATGGAGCACGTCATGCCCGTCTGCCTGGGGAGCGCCGACTGCAAGCGCTCCGCCATCATGGTGCTCAACGGTACCCAGTGGGCCACTTGGTTCGAGTCTTTCCAGGACAGTGGCAATAACACGTGGAAATTCCACGTCGATGAGGGCCAGCCGGCAGACGTGGCGATGCCAGTAGCACTACGCTCTGCAGACGTGGACATGGACGGCTACCCCGACTTCCTGGCCGTATTGGACGGCAAGCCGTCGGGTCAGAAGAAGGTAGTCACCCGAGCCACGCTCCTTCTCAACGTCCACTGTCCCAGCTGTCCCTATGGGCGAAACCTGGTCCCGTACTGGAACTATGGAGCCCTGGCCAACTTCGACTCCGCTAAACTGGCCGCCTTCTTCGACATAGACGAAGACGGGCACATGGACATCCTGCTGACCAACGGAACCCATCAGAATGGCTTCCACACGTACGCGCTTCGCAACCAGTTCAGTGACTGATGCGTGCTTCATCAAGGTTCTGGCCTTGAGTGGCCTCTGCTACACCGACTGCCCGCAGGGTCACCTGGCCTACGGAACAAATCAGCCGGGCCCTCTGGTTCGGTATCGGATTATAACGTCCAGTGGCTATCCGCAGGTGCGTGGTTTTTACTTTGCGTCATCTTGTAGCTTTTTGTCTGTTCTTTCTTGTTTGGTAGTGATGTATGTGCTAATAACTTCTAATAGGTCTATACCAACGTGCTTAAGCCACATTTCTAGTACGTTAAACCTGTTTGCTTGTTTTTCTTCGCATCAGCGCCCTTTGCCTCTGGTTGTTTATACCCTTTTCCTATTGTGTTGGCTGTTGATATTTTCTCATGCTATCTTGTGTGAAGAAAGTGTTTATAGTGCAGTCATGCTGATACATGCTTCATGGGAGACATAAAGTGAAACGTATTAGAAAATATATTAACCAAATAGGTTAGCTGCAAGTTGAAATAAAAAAAAAGCATACTAGGCCAGAAAACGTTACGTGAAATCATACCAACGAGCTTCCACTGTATTTTGTCTAACATATACCAAATGTAGTGTTGGTGTGATTTACTGGCAAAACCGGAACTGTGCATCAGGTTCTTACGAGTAATTTCTCATTGCGCTACCTGAAGAATAGATACAGCTGCATCACAAATGCAGTGAAGCAGACCAACGTTAATTTTGGAAGCGGAGCGCATTGCTTTCACAGGAAGAAGAGCATTCGAACAGCTGGAGGCTTGCGTTGTGCAGAGTTGCTTCTGGACAGAAAGAGTCTCGTCCCTCTCTAGCTTTGTTGGACAGCTGTCAACTTAGTAATTACGCTAGCCTCATGTCCTATGGAGTGCGTTGTTTAAGCGGCTCTTTAAACGAGCTCTTCAAAAATGTGCACAATGTTATCATGATGTTAGACAAGACGAAAGAAGTGTGGCAGCTTGGGCTAGTTGGTATGGCATGACGATAGTTATAGCGCGAGAAACAAAACGACGGCACAGAGACAAGAAGGACACGAGCGCTAACTTCCAACTGTTGGAAGTTAGCGCTCGTGTCTTTCGTGTCCTTCTTGTCTCTGTGTCGTCGTTTTGTTTCTCGCGCTATAACAGTTGGAAGTTAGCGCTCGTGTCTTTCGTGTCCTTCTTGTCTCTGTGTCGTCGTTTTGTTTCTCGCGCTATAACTATCGTCAAGACGAAAGAGCTACGAAAGCTCTTGTGGTAGTAATATTGTGGTGCTTGATACCACCTACACGCTCACCGCGGCTTTAGTGTCAAAAGCCAAGGCCATGCAGAATTCCACCGAACAGCATCAGAGTGTGCCCCCCCCCCCCCCCCAAATTTCTAAAAAAAAAAAAATCAAAGAGCCAGCCTCGACGGTGTTTATGGATACAGTCATGGGATCGATTTTGGAACCATAAAGTGCAGTTGTCCTTGGAACCCTGCAGGGCAGTTGTCTTTTTTTTTTTTTTTGGCATCAGAAGTCATGCTGCGCTTGATGTTCTCTTTGAACAGGTCTTTTAAAAGCTGTTGTAATTATGTATTTATAGCTCTCTCAAGGAATTTAGGCTTTGCACTATATGTAGTTTACAGCATGGAGTTTCCTATGAATACCCTGAAGGGAACTCTGGCACTAGTGTCTATGGAAGCTGCAATGCACCGTGCTTCAGTGAGCATGGTAATGATGAGTAGTTCATGGATTTGTTTAATTTTCGTGCTTTTGGCTCCGGTTGGCTTCACATGGCAAGTTGTTTTGTCACGAAACAGAAATCAGCAAATGTTCAGCACTTGCACTTCACTACTTTAACCTTTTAGGCTCACCATTTCAAGTCTGCTCATGAGGTTTATAACTGTTCGTTCTTTCGTGCGAACCAAAACACCAATAAATGAAGCCTCAAATGCGTTCGAGTTCCACAAGCACGAAGCCTAGGTAAATCTATGTACTACCCATCATTTCCATGGTCGCTGAACGATCGCAACGCCAGAGTCCCCTCTAGTTAATTTAAGAAACTATGGTGGGCAGCTGCCTCAAATAAGCTGTAAACGAAAGATTTGTATCAGTACTTCGTCAATCACTGTAGCATTGCATGGTTGCAAAGGAGATTGCTTACAGTTACGAGACACACAATTCGCATGTAGTGAATTGCCACGATGGTTGAGTAGCTGTGGCGCTCGGCTGCTGATCTGAAGGTCACGGGATCGAATCCTATCTGTAATGACCTCATTTTCATGTAGGCGAAACACTAGGAAGCCTGTGTACTGCAATTTAAGTGTGCATTTAAGAAGCACTACGTGGCCAAATTTCCGGTACCTTCCACTGTGACGTTTCTCGTATTCATATTCTAGTTTTTGGACATAAAAACCCCAACAGTTATTATTGTCATTGTTGCATGCAGTGAGATCTGGCATTTCGTACAGCTACATGAAGGAAAAAAAAGCCTATTGCATACATTTCACATGTTACACTCAGACCTTGCTATAATGAACCTGAATATAGCTAAATATAACCAAGTTTGTGTGCTGCCACATGTGTGCTATGAAATGACGGAAAGTGTTAAGGGCATGTTTTCTTTGTTAGGCACAATATTAATGAGAACTAACATTACTGGCATTATTGTCTGTTAGTTCACATGTGTGCCAGACATTCCAACTTTATCTCCACTGGCTAAGTTATGTTTTTGGGCACTACTTTAGTTAGTCCACCAACCCGCTCACCTTTCTGTTTATTTGCACCACTTGTTGAAACAGTGCATCCAGCGACAACTCCTGCTCACGGAATTTTTCATTTGTCCTGTAGGAAAGCTGCGCAAGCCAGTTGTACCAGTCGGCACACTATGCGCTGCAGCTTCCTTATTCGGTGTTCGGCCTCGGTCAGTCTCCGAACTTTGTGGACGTGCTGACCGTGGCTCTTCCCAACAACGAGAGTGTCGAGCACCTCAGCGTGCACCACCAGTGGACGCAGATCATCCCGAACTCGCAGATGGTGGTCATCCCATATCCAGTGAACGACCCGCAAAGCTGGGTCAACAAGCTTTTCGTCACCCCTGGACGACAGGTGCGATATTATGCACTAGTGCAACGTAACTCTACTCCCCTTCATTTTTGTTTCAACTGCACCTTTCCTGGTTCGTCGAAAAATTTCTGCGTTGTGCCCCCTTTTGCCTGTCAGTAATAATGTGACAACCAGAAACTGCATAAACTGGTAAGCGAAGTGGCAAGTACACATAGATTATGCAAAGTTATGTAGAATGAATGTAAAAATGGATTCTGCAATGACTTGTTGGTTACGAAAATAACTGCCACCTGAAACCAACTCTGGCCTTCATTGCCTGCGTAATTGACAAAACAGACTTCAAGCTTGCCGTACAAAATCCTCTAACTTTTTTATCCCCTTTTAACTGCTCTTGTAGTTATCGTTATCCTCACTTCTTTCAGTTGTGCCATCGGGTTTTGAAAGTATCTTATAAAAATAAATGTGAGGACAGGAGCTAGCCAGAGCTCCATTTTGAAATGCAATAAAAATAGTGCGATGGCCGTTATACGACTGCAAAAAGCAGAATTACATCTAGATGCATTCACTTTTTTCATTAGCTACAAGTACCTATAGTCAGATACAACCAAGATGACCGAATTGCAGCAGCCGATTGCCTTTGTCACTTCAAAGTTATCCTGCTCATGAACTCTGCAATATACTGAAGGTGGATTCATCGGCTGGCCAGTTCATAACGTCAGTCTAAAGTTCACGCACTTTGGTGGCGGTTGAGGAAGAGACGCTGCAGGCTTTAGAGGTCTGTTCCATTCAGAAAGTGACACTCACCAGCTATTGCAAGTAACTTGGCAAGTTAATGTAATTGGACGTTTTCTTGTCCTTGGTTTCCTGTGACAAACAAGCCTGGAGGATCTGGAAAATTGTGGAGTGCTATTTCATATAGTAAATATAAATGTGATGGAGTAATCGTACGTTATCACGCCCTTTGAATAAAGGCCCAATCCATTCACGAAACACCTTTTATCCTCATGGTAGATTGGGTTAGATTATTGGACAGGATCTTCTCTCCAGCAATCGCCCAGCCCGCACCAGTGCTGGAAGTCGTACGCTGCATGTATTGTAATCTCATTCTTTGAGTGTTGTACATATATCTGTTTACGTACCCAAACTTTACCGTAGGTGTCATCGAATTGTCCAAGTAACATGCATTCTTGCTCACATTTCAGGTTCTGCTGACGTTCATTGCCCTGGCTGGCACGTGCGTCTTTATTGTGCTGATCATCGGAACCCTGCACTGGCTAGAAAAACGGGAGGACCATCGGATGAGGCGCCAAGAGGCTCACCAGTTCCACTTTGATGCCATGTAATGCGCCCTCTCAGGTGCCATCGCATCGAGTGTTCTTGGTGAAAATTGAACCTTCGGTGCACCAAGTTCAGCAATAAGACTGGTGTGGTCTGTTCACTGTTCCACGCAGGAGTGAAGGACACCTCGTGGTGTAGCTTTAAAGACCAACATCGCAGGAACGTCGTTTTAGTGTCTTCGAGTCTTGTTCTTCGCAAGTTAAATTGTTATGCGCCTGCCATTTTGAGTCGTGCCCTTTGCGCTCAGCGGAGGATCAATATGGACTATGCAGGACTTACAGGCCAATGTTCCTGGAGCAGCAATAGCTGCACTAAATGAGTTGAACCCTACTATTAGCCCGAGTAATTTGTTTTATATAGCCTGGCCTTTGAAATGTGCGACAGTTCTTGGTCTCATTTTGCAAGCTGAAATCGAGGGCCAAGCAAAGCAGCATTTCTGAATGTGCACAGGACTGAGCAAGTTATTTCGGACAAGGTCGAGGCTGTTTGTTTTTCAGTGGTGTTTCATTTATGCAAGTATATGTATGTCTGATGCCTTAACTTCATGAGATTATTCTTATCTCAACATAAGAGCTGCAAATGTGTTGACCACTTCATTCGTTCCACTGCTTGTGCGCTGATGCACGTTGGCATTCTGGTCTTAGAGTGTAATTTGTTTTTATGCGATTGTTAAATGCAGGCCATTTTGTGCCTTGAGTAGGTTATGCAGTGTTAGTTCTAAGTGTACTTTTTCATTTTTGCTGTGTTTGTGTATTTATTGCAATAAAGAAAACACTTGTGTTACACCTTTCCTAGCTTACGTTTACATTGCCCCAGCATGAAGTTGTTGAACAAGCTATAACAGGAAGTAGTTTTCTAGCCTTGTTGGTTATAAAAGCCCATTTTCCCCCCATTAGGAGATGTCTTGTGCCGAGACTTTGACATAATCCATACGAAACATTAGTCGATTCAAACAAGAACAAAAATGTAAGCTCTGCCTACGGAACTGTGGCATATTTCCCTCAGTAGAACCTGTGAAAGACAGTCATGCTTGCTTGTTTCCGCTCGAAGCTTAAAATTAGGCTCAATGAACACAAAGGGGACGTTGCTAATGATAATCATCCCAAGAAAGTTTGTTGAACACTGCAGGACAACAGGGCATGCTTTTAACTTCAACAATACTGGTTCAGGCATAAAGGTTCGGGAAAAGAGAAGTCCAGGAATCATGGTTAATCTGTCGCAGCAAATCTGCTTGCAGCAACGACCCCTCCCCTGTCCCCTCCCGAGCATTTACGGGAACATATGTGACTAGCAGTGGACTGAGCGACCTCCGGTCATTTGTTGCTAGTGTATATTGAGGATGCCACCCGCATAGGTGATAAAATGTCCATGTAATTTTGTGATATATTTGCTTATGTCAGGGTAAATCTTTTAGAATTATGAGCGCACTGGGCTCTTGGAACATTTTAGCAAGTGCTTTTTTTGGGGGTTGCATAAATACTATCCATATTAAATTAGGAGTTAAAGGTTTGTCCTTATTGCCTTAAACATTGCATTTCGCTGAGCATTAGTATCAGATTCCCAGCCAAATTCATGAGAACGTTTGGGTTCCCGACCAGCGACACAAACATGCATCTACATTAGAAAGTTGGCTATCTGAAACACTCAAGAATCGCTTGATGTCAAAAAAAAGAAAAAGAGAAAGAGCAAGTATTGTTAGATGGAGCATTTATGCAAGTTCTCTTTAGGGAGGGACAGCAGTGGCTGTCCTTCCTGGAGGCAGAGCCAACATTTTTATCTTTGATTGCAACCAACTGAAGTGTTGCCTACATTTGGCACAATATTGCAAGTTGCTTTTCTGCGAGTTCACAGTGTTTTGGCATGCCAACTGTTAGTGAAACGTACATACCATTATGTTGTTTTATTATGCATTGTTTTTACTCTCTACCATTACCTTAAATATGGCAATCACATGATTATGCAAATACGCAAGAGTTGAATAAACCTGAAAATATAATTGCGAAAGAAAGTGTACCTAGATGAAAACGTCGACTTGCACAATACGAAATACTGCGACGATTTTCTGCTGTTATATGCAATCTTTTGCCACTACCACTTGCGTATAGAAAAGAAACTAACCTGGACAGTATTGTCAGGCTACCTTCTCGCATGGTTGGTTGAGCAAAACACAAGAGTAGCTGGCCATAAAAATGCAAGTTTGTTGACGTACGGCCATGGCACACAGATGTGCCCACTACATAAAACTTTGTTAAATGATCACTCTCGGTGTCGTGCAGCAAACACCACCATGTGCAAGATGATACGCGAACTGTGTAAGCAGGCTAGAAGGACAAGTATAGCCTACGCATGAGTTTTCTAGTATTTCCCTGCACCTTCACAAATTATATGGCCTGCAGTGTAGCGCGGTGGCCTTGCAATGCTGTCATTGCTTTGTCTGTTGAGGCTCGGTGCATGAAGGGTACTATAGATGGCTTGCACTGATTCACTAAAACCTCCATGCTGGTGCACTACATCACACAGGCAAAGTCCGTGACGTCACCTGAAACTGCGTGTTATCGTTGCATCACTTGCAAGTTCTCTTGTTCACACAAAGAAGCCAATGAAATTCTGGCCGCATCGTTATCACATTGTTACGTGACGATAGCACTGTCAGTCGCAAGCCACAGTACAGCAAAGTCAGCTTCCTACTAGACACCCTTTAGGGTATGTCTACTGTACGCTGATGTCAGTGTATTGAATCGGGATAAATGCGATGTGATTATGCTGTAGTCGGGTCATCAAGGTCACCGTTTTAGTGAACCAGTCCGTCTAAAGCTCCGACCACGACATCCCATGCAAGCTATCTATAACCTTAGGGGGGAGGGGGGTTTGACACCCCCAAAACGGCACACCTGGCTACGCCATTGCAGTGCCTAAACATTTTGCAATTATGTGAGCGCTGGATATCGTGGCTCCACTGCAGGTTTTCTAGCATAACGCACACATGAACATGCAATGGTCAAACAGTGCTGTTGCGTTTATGTAAGTCTAGAAGCAAAACATGTCTATTCGTGAAGACTTCACTGGACACACAGCAGTATACGACTTATGTACATATCATATTGCACCGAACATCACCATGCGCTTTGCGGTCATTATCCATTAGATCGCGTTTGCGAGTCTATGCCACAAAGGTCATCTTCAACGATGATGAAAGAGCCCAGCTCTTTGTTGCCACTTGTCACCATCAGCTACAAGAGAGCACCGCTTTCCTGACAAATGCCCTCTTCGTGGTACACACTCTACAAATCGCAGATTGGACAACCAGCAAATACTTGGCTGGTCTGAACAGCCCAATTCGTTGCGTCACGTTATGTACAGTGGGTTGCCGGCAAAGTCCACTTGACTCGAACGACTGACTTCTACAACAACCCACACACTACAACCCGCGGTTACGACCCCCGTTCATTATAGAGATCCACGATGACACAATGATATTGTGTCACGGGGTGGCATTTTCAAAAGCTATTAATCCGACCAGAAAGCATCGTGAGAACTTGCGTCGCAGATGACGTACTGTTACGCACAATGCTCAGTCTTGATGCTGGTGCTGCGCTTCCCGCCAAGCGTTCTGTACGCTGGCAACCATCCTCTTGCACATGCTAGAGCGCAGGAAGGCGCCCACTGCACAGACTACGGTGAAGAGCCAGGCCGAGACGAGCACCCAGTCGGTGTACTCCAAAGGCGTATCGGCTAGTGGGCCGCTGTAATCCGGGTCCAGAGGCCGAGTGGCCTGCATGCCGGTGTGCTTGGTGACGAACGACACCAAACCTTGCATCGTGACCGACGTGTCGTTGAACTTCGCAACGGCGCGACCGTTGTGGAAGAGCAGTATGCTGGGAACGGCGACTAGCCCGTAGCGCATGTTTATGCTGCTCGACTTGACGACGTCCACGGCGTAGAATTCGAGATCTGGAAACGCGGCGGGCAGGGCATTGACGTAGGGCGCGGCGCCGGCGCAGAAATTGCAGTAAGGCGAGTAGAAAGTCACCACGATGCAACGGCCGCCCGTCGAGTTGGTCTTGTTCGGCGCGGGCGAGAGCTCCTGTAGTAAAGCCGTGCCGTTTATTAGTTGTAGCGTGTTGTACTCTTCGTCTTCGTTTCTCGTCACGTTGCTGGGGAGGCAGCGGATCGGATTCGCCGAAGACGCGTTCTTAGCACCGGCGGTTTCCGTGGAGTTCGAGCTGGCGTCGTCGTCGGCGGTGATGTTCGTTTGCGCCTCGCTCTCCGCGGAGACATCAGGTTCAGTGGGGAGAGCTTGGAAGTTCAGATTCAGGGAACTGGTTCGTTATCGCTGGTTTCGCGAGGTGTTACGACCAGTTCGTCCACCTGCTCGCCCAGGCAGGCGAATAACAAAACGGCGAACACGCAGCACCTAAACGACACGGGAGCCATGTTTGCCAAATGACGCTCATGACGCTGTCGCTTGCACTGCCGTCGCTATTGCCAGCATTGAGTTACGCAGGCGACTCATCGGCGGGGCTTTCGCCTACGCTTTCTTTCTTCTCAGAACCTCAATAAAGCTCATACTCACTCGCATTCATCATTTCCCTTGAGCATACTCACTGTACCATAAGCATAATGCACCTCCTACATCATGCTGCGAGAAATTTTATATTCTGAATATCGTAATGCATGTCAGTGTTTCAACCATGGCTTCAACCACCTCATACACATACCATTGACGCGCAATATTTTTATCGCATATGTTACTTACCGAATTTAGGACAGCAGAAGAAACGATAGTGAGCTCGTCACAGGTCAGCTGCATCTACTCGTCGTCCGAGCATAGAGTAACATAGTGTACTATGTTACTCTATGGTCTGAGTTTGGGAGATTTGGGTTTCCAGTTCGAACAAAAACGCGCTTCCAGTTCGAACAAAAAAAAAAGTAGTACGAATAATAATTAAATTTTAGCTACGGTGTTCTGAACTGTTGTAGTTTAGCGAGACGGTATACGTGCAGCTAAACGAAACTTTATTTCGTTTGCAAGGTGGTGTTAGTTCTGTCAGTGCGAATCACGGTATAAGTAACCGCAAGCTCGGCGTCGTCTTATTTCGCGAGTTATACGACTTTACAAGAGACGTTCGTGTCCAAGTTATGACTAGTTTCCCATCAAGACGGATGAATAAAGCCACACTCAATTAAAGTGCAGTACAACTAAACGGTACAAACCCATTACTTAACAGCCACAGATGCGATGTCGTCTATGGGTCGGTCTAGTTTGGTACCCATTATATCATTCGTTTTACCAACGCCGTTGGGTAAGAAAAAAAAAGTGGTTTTGAAAGGCAGGAAAAGTATAGTGCAGCACACGTGCAGAGAGCGCGCGCGTTGCGCTCCGACCTTGACTCGCCAGAGCGATGAAACAGCCGATGTCGAAACACCCAGTTGTCGCTGTTTCTACGCGTGCTAACCGCGCGGCTTCTTTCCGTTTTACTATCGCATTATCGTTCAGGAAGCGAGGAAATGACTGGGCTTTAACTATTCAAGATGCCGTGATCGTGCACGACGCGCGATAAGCTACCGTTACTTTGTACCACCTTTCAAATGCCCCTTTATTCCGCGCTATCATTGCCCTCTCGTCTATTTGCGTTGTTGCTGCCGCACTTGGCAGCGTTTCCCGTACGGGACTATCGCGAGCTGGCAACACTAACAATATAACATGGCGGTCAGCTGTTGGAAGTCGAAGAACAGTGGGTGATTAGCGAAGTGGCAGTGAGAAAAAACAAAAGAAACGCGCAACCGTTAGCGCCCTTAAATTTCCGATAAACTTGTACCACTACGCCAGATGTCGGTCAAAAGCCGCGACCGTCAGACAGCCTGAATTCGCATGCTACGGGAGCGGCTGACAGTCTGCGAAGGAGCCTGCCAGAGCGAGCATGATACGACGGTGCCTTCTCAGTACGGCGCATCGGCTGATCAACTCAAAGTTGGCTCCGGCGAAAAGCTTTTTCGCCCTCCAAGTGCACGGCACCGACGGAGTGGTCAACTACCTGCGGCAGTTTCCTTAGGTAGCGTCGCAGTCATGTTCACCAGTTGTGTCTTTGCTATTTGTGTGCAGCATTGTAGGGAAAACCTTGAGCCCCGTTGCTTTTCTCGCCGTAAGCCCCAGCAGATTACCCCGATTTTTAACCGACCTGAACGTGTAGAAGTCTGTCGTTAGTCGAGTGTTTCCGTGATTCTGGGTGTGATGCAAAGACTTCCCATATTCGTGCGCGCTAAGAGGAAACACTGAGATCTGATTGGTAACATCTGTGCAACGGCGTTCGCAGGTCAAGCAAGTCAAGATGCTGTACGTCTTCCTCGTCGATACTGGCAAGATGGTGACCTTTGATATGAACCACGCCGTCGAAAGGTGGGTGTGCTTAGCGATGTGCATAAGTGAGGGAAAATATTTGGCTGCGGCGCGTAACCATAGCAACGCGGTGGAAGTCCTTTGTTCCGCACTACTGTTCCCGGCGGGGAAAACGCGAGCATGTTGTTGTCACGTGCTGCGCTCCACCTGTTTGTGCATGTCCAAGAAATACCTGACATTGCCGTTCCTTTTCCGCGACGAATGCTGTCCCTGTCCCGTTGCAAACTATTTCGTCAGACCGTGACACTTCGATTGAATGAGGTCATCATCCCGTTTACAACCGAAAGCTGTGTATGAGACAGCGTGTTACAGTCAAATAAATATGTCAAATCTAGGTTGAGAGTTGTCGTTCACGTGCTTTTAATCGCGTCCGAATTCATGTTAGCTTCAGTTCCGTCACTTTGTACACGCTACGATTGTGACATGTCGAAGCAGCCAGTGTTGTATTGCTCACTTAACCTAAACAGTCCAGCGGTAACAGTTAAAGGGGCGCACTTAGCTGCAGCTGCTTTAGTATGAACCCCCCCCCCCCCCCCCTAATCGACAATTCCTGGTGAAGGGGGGGGGGGGGGCACATATGTAGCAGCCCCAGTTATCCTTGTTCCAGACATGTATCACTCTGATGTGGGCACGTACAGTTGCGAATTTTCACCAAAACGATGACACTGATTTCATTTGTGTGCCTCCCTCATTATTCAAAAGAAAGGCAGAAAGCGCGGGAAATAAAAGCGTGCGATGAGAAATTTGCAAGTTTGCAAATTTGCAAGTGGACTTGTGTTTTTCAAGTTACAACCTTGAAAAATACGAGCCCACTTGTTGATATGTCGGCTCCATAACACACCATCTGTATGTACAATTTTCTCGCCCCCTCCCAATGTAGGGGGGGGGGGGGGGGGTAGGTAAAGCAAATTGTTAGTAGAACCATTTGAAAAAAAAAATTACTTTAACTCGTATATGGGTCATTCCTAAAGGAGATAGCAACAGGATTCCAACATGCCGACACCAATGATTTTGCAGATGATATACGCACGTTTACGGTAATCGATCTTGCAGGCTATCTCGGCCATGAAATTTTGTGTCGGTACCCCTTTGAAGTTTGTAGGGATGCTATGTGTGTTTCGAGAGTGGCGATCTGATCTTGAGACCACACAAGGTTCAGCATCAAAACGCACAGATGAGGCAAAGATGCAACAAAAACAAGCCCTTCTTTGTTTGCTGTGTGCATTTCGAGGCTGAACCTTCTTAAACATGAAATACCAATTAGCGCACTCCCATACCTTGCTTCTGACGAGGATGCTTGTGCCTGCTGAAGACCGTGTTATCGTGTGCTTGTTGCAGCGTGGAGCATCTCAAAGCTGTCATTCATCAGCGGTTCAGTGTGCCACCCGAAAAACAAGTGCTGCTCATAAGCGGAGGGGAAAGCCTGCAGCCGACAGCCTCTGTGGGCAGCTACAGTGCGGGCACGGACACCAACCCCATTTACTTCTTCAACAAGGTTTCCATTGAATCCGAAAGCCTTGCCAAGTCCAGTGAGCTCGCCACGTCAGGTCAGCATCAACCTTCCTTCTTGGAGCAGTACAAGCTGGGCGAAGAGGCCATTAGATCGAGCACCTCTGCCCGGGTCGCACCATCTTCGTAGTATTTCTCGTTTTGTCATGAACGAGTTCGTCGAATACCCCACAAGAGGAAGCCTCATGATAACCTTGTGCTTTTGCCACTTAAGACACCAGAATGTGATTAATTTCTTAACTGTGTACTGTGGGATGTCAGTTCACGTCAAATGGTCAAAATTTCTGAATCCTTGCACTGCGGTGTCCCTTGTAATGATATGGAGGTCTTGGGATGTAAAACCCCAGATATTATCAATATCTTAAATGGTACATTACAGCCTGCAACAAAGTTGAGGACATTGCAGCGACGCTTCAACAAAATTTCCAATTATCAATGCAGCGACCCCTGAAATGGAAAACTGCCAGAACATGAACTGAGATGACTCCACTGATTGGATGATTGACCGAAACCAACCTTGTACTTTTTTTGTGAGAAGTGGATTGATATATTTATTTCTTCATTGAAAGTTCCGAGAAATGACGTTTGACATTTCTGGTAGCAAAATACGAATGGGTTGATGTACCTACCCCATCACGTGACCATTGATTGCTGGGTGTTGTCGACAATGTTTATATTGGTATTGAATATTGCTACTTTTTTACACTGACAAAAATATTACTCCATAAAAGTCTACATATAGGCCTGCTAGTGATGGGAAAGCTGCACCAACCTGTCCCAAATGGATATTACTGCTCCATGCTGCTCCAAGGGGGTCTTTTTTTTGGTCTAATTTATGCCATTGCTGCACCACAAGGTGGTTTAGGAACCGAAAGTAGTGTTGATAGCATGCATCTTGAGCGGATATTACATGATGGTCACTATCTTGTACTTGTGCTACTGTAAAAGCAAGGAATCGGCTGATCAATTTTCAGACTTTCTCGTGATTAGGGTGGTATCTTTCTGGTAACCATTGGCAAAAAACAAAAGCAGCGTGGCGACTACCAAAAAGCACGCCATTATCACTTATGCCCGGCAAAAAAGCCTCCATGAGCGATATATGACTGCATTAAGCCTACTGCACATTTTTAATATTCGGTGATTACGCGAGAGCGCTGAGGTGCCAATCGCTGCCGCCTCAGTCAAAGTGCAGGATTGTGTTCAGTGTGCACCGCTTGGCAGAAACGAAAGAAGCTCGCTGTTGCGAAGTTCAACGTTGTGGATCGCGGGGACCGAGATGGCAAGTGTAGTGGACACTTTAATGAAGGCACAGCCCAAACACGCCTACCAGTAGAGCATCCCTTGTAGAAAGCTCGCATTGCCACAGACTTTGCGCTGCATCTGTGCATGGTCTGAAGCGGAGTGGGCGCAAGCGACTCGGCGTGGTGTGTACGCCAAGTAGGTGAAGTGCTGTATGCAACCATAGAGTTTCCTAAATATACTATACACTAGAGGGAACTCTGGCACTAGTGTCGATGGGAGCTGCAATGTACAGGTGCTTCAGCGAGCATGGGAATGATGGGTAGTACACGAATTTGTCTAATATTCGTATCTCTGGCTCCGTGTCTGTTCGTGTGGTTTGCAGCTGTTTTCTAACGAAACAAAAATCTGCAAGTGTTCAGTGGTTGCGCTTTACCACCTTAGTCTTTTAGGCTTACCATTTCAAATCTGGTCACGAAGTTTAAAAACATTCGCTTTTTCCTTCGAAACAAAGTAGAAACACAGCAATAAACGAAGCCACAAGCGTGATTCGCCACCCCCAAGTACGAAGACTAGGCAAATCTGTGATATACCCATCATTCTTATAGTCGCTGAACAATTGTAGCACCAGAGTACTCTCTCGTTAATTTTTGGAAAATCTATGCATGCAACTAGCCAGTAGACGATTGGCGCCCCGTGACCGTACTGTGTCTAAAAGATGTGTGTCGCTTTTCGCTATGTAGCAGATCGTGGTACACATTTATCACGGACAGCCGAATATGTCCGTTTCGTCGCTATGTTGGTTATTGCGTTGTCTGGGTATCGCGAACTTCTAAGCAGTTTGGAAATGCTCTGTGGTGTTGCCAACGCGTGCCATCGGATGGTCGTGGGAGAATGCCAATCATGCCTGAAAATTGGCGAAAAAAAAGTAATGGCTTCTTCATGGTGGGCACTTGGAGCAATATTTGCTGTGGCACTGTTCTTAGTTCTTATTTAGTGGTGATGGCACATGTAAAGAAATTGGTAGCTGGTCATAGGCATGTGCATGGGGGGGGGAAGAGGGTTCATACATTAACATGATAGTTAGAGGGAGAGCTGCAACAAACCGCTGGCCCCCTTCTCAAAGGGGCATTCTGCACAAGCTTTTACATGGTGGTTAATACTTACTACGTTTGGTCCGTAGTTAGCCACGTTCCCAGCAGGTTCTCCGCGTGTAGTACAGAGGTGTCCACTGTTACAAGGAACACAGGAGCGCGTGTTGTCTGCTCGGCGCCACCGCCGGCCCGCTGCGGCAGCTAGTTTCGCGCAGGAGCAGCGAGTGATGTGGGCAGCGTTCATTAGTCATCTGCTACAGTTCCGGCCGCGCTTCAGCCGTCGCGATGCCAGCTGTCCTCACGCTTTGAAATTCGTTCATAGGCTGCACGGTCATGTTCAGATAGAAAGCTGCGGCAAAGCCTAAAATAAATTAGTATATGTAAAATACTACCTCATTGATACTTTTTTGGTTAAAGAAGCACGACTTCTTCTTTACAGACATCTTTTTATAGCATAACTATATTAAAGAATATTTTTCCTTGTGGAGTGCTTATTTGATGCGGACTGATCTAGATTCGACCTAGTGTAGTGCGTAAGCTCAACAAAGCATTTACAAGTGCCTTTAACTGACAATACCAGAAAACTTTCTCGAAGCGGGCAATTCTTTATCAAGCGAGAATGCAAAAGAAAGGCTGCCATCTGGCTGATGTGTCGGGTGACATCTGATCCCAGATCATTCTCGTCATTTCTCTTTTAGCTCGAAAAAAAAAGCGACTATTTTTAACATTTTGCGACTTGGGCCGCCCTTCACGACCAGCTAAAGGGCGGCTGCCACTGTAGCAGACGCCAAACAAGCCCCGCACACAGCGCTCCCTGCTCCTGCGGGATGGTGAGATTGAGGGTGAGATTAAAGAAGGGGAGATTAAAGACCAACTGCAGCTATAACCCCTGCTCGAACTCTTTGCCCTCTCTTTTCAGACCAGGATGTGACGCTTGAAGTAGAAGCGGTGATGAACCTGCCGCCCGCATTCGACACTGTGGTTGTGAGGACGCAGCTTGCTCAGGTCAGGTGCTGCTGCCACTCAGTGTTTGTGTTTGCCTGTATCGCCCTAACATTTGTGCCTCTGCACATTTTTCATGTTCTGCGAGTGTCCATTTGCGATTGCCCACACGCATGCGTTGATGTGACTGGTGTGTCTACACCCTTGATGTGCTGTCATTGCCCTATTTGCGGTTAATTCTGCCAGCAGGTATGTAGGAAAAGCTGTACAGCTACCAGAGACAACAATTGATGGCTAGAAGAGCTGCAAGTTTCAAATCGTAGCTGTGATAGCATTAAAGTGGCAACTTTTACTCCTTGTTGTTGAAATGTGGCTGTTGAAATGTGGCTGTTGAAATGTTGTGGAAATGCTGCTTTCTTCTGTAATGCTTTGCTCGAATGCACGCACAAGCTTGACTGAGGCCTTTCTTATGGTTTGCTTGTGCACTCAGTGAAAGAACTATATACTCTGGAATTATATTATCATTGGGCTAGTACTACAATGCTCTGCTTATGGTTGTGTCCTACATATACCTAAATATCCTTTTTATCGGAGCACCAGTTTTGGTAATGTCAATGTTGCAGGTGTTCTCAAGCTCTAATCCATCATTGTCATCTAAACAGTATGAGTTTCGTGTCCTGTTGAAGCCAAGCTGCACTAGTAGTGTATGTTCACACAGTTGCATTAAATTACGTGATGAGCTGTTTGTTCGGCTTTCAAGCAGAGTTGCCGACTTTTAATAGCACTCTGTGAGAATCGTTGAATAGTCTTAGTAATCAATGATTCCAGAAAAAAAAAAGTTGCCAGAAGAAAGCACCTTTATTGGTACAGTGGTTGAAAAAGCTTGTCAATGCTCATGTTAGCACGTTGATGTTTATGTGCAAACAAGTCTGTCTGTACTTCAGCTGGTGTTTGGACATTGCTGTAGGTTGACAATAGCAATGTTAAGGCCTGTGCTTGAATACGTGGACTCCAATGCATAGATCACCATCGACATTATTAGTAGAGACCAGATTCATCACGACAGGGTGCACTCATTTTGACCAATTGTGCATGCCAGTCATACGTAAAAAATTCGATGTTTTATTTGAGTCCGTCAGTAATATACGCTCAAACCTCATTATAACAAAGTTGCATCTTACAAGGAAATATGTTCGTTATATCCAAAAATTTGTTATAAAGGTTATTCCTAACACTGTATCTTCTGAAAGAGTATTTCTGATTTACTTTGTTATAATTGATATTTTGTTATATCCATGTTTGTTATATTGAAGTTTTAGTGTCCAGTGGAGCTTGGATTATACGTCCCCCGGTCTCGCGCCGACCCTGCATTTGACGACGAATTGGTTTGGTCCCGGGAAAATCCCCATAAAATTAATGTTTCAAGAACCCTGGTTATACGATGCTCTTTTGCGTCGACCCCGCATTTTACAACTTTCACAATCTGTCAAAAAACACATATTTACTCAAATCGGAGGCTTTCTAAATATTCACGACCGCAACATATGAACTTGCGTTCCCCTAAGTTGAGGATTAGAAAAGTAGAGACGAGCGAGGGACAGGTCTGCTTACAACGGAAAATTCATTCTCCTGGAAGTTCATGCGCTTCTACATATGCCTTGATCGCATCCGTACGTATCTGAGGTCGTTACCTAGTCAAGCTCTATCCACACGGAAAAGCCACAGCCGGCCGAACAGCTAGTATTTTCACGTTTTTGGACTGTGGAAACTTTACCTAGTCGATATGCAACTGATCTCCTGTCTTTGTCGCACTCGCAGTCACAGGCTTGTGCAAGCATAAGGGCGCGACTTGGCTGTTTTCACCATGCTAAATTATTTTCACTTGATGTTAACCTTCATAATAATAGCAGGACATGACTAGTTGTGCTTCGCAAGCCAACGAACTGCAATACGCACAGCTCAGTCGCGCACGAAGGTATTCTATGCCAACTCGGGGTTCAGTGTCATTATGCGATATCGATGACACTGTGTCCGACCCTTCTGGTGGTAAGCAGTTGGCAATGAAGTTTTGGTTTCATTTACATGCGCAGGCAATTTTTGGACTCTGTTCATCGGTAGAAAGATGCGCGTTGGATTGGATTTTTTTTTTTTAAGTTGAAAATAAAGACTTGCTTTATGTACTCCGGCTAAGTAATGCTGCCATTAGCTGCCACTGGCAAAAATAAAGTAATCTATTTTCCTTGCGGTGGCATAAGGTCGTGCCGTGGGCTTATTCAGGTGATCTGTTCCTGTTTTTTGGGCAAGGCTGAGTGTCGCTGCCTATAATCTTTGTTGTTTTTTTTCGATTATACAATGCCTGAATTATACGGTGGTTTTGTGTGGTCCCCTGAAAGTCTCATAATCGGGTACTTCGTTCTCTCTTCAGCTCGGCATAGAAAATTCTTGCTCGCTGTTTACATGTCTGCAGTTCTAAGGCTGTGTCACGGCAAGAATCTTTGATTTTGTTCTTGCAGGAACTCTGTGACCGTGCTCGGCAGGAACTGAAAATATCTGAGGCCCTTGTCCACGAACAGCACTTGCAGCAGCAGGGCTGGGCTGCTGTGGTTGCCAACCTCGATGATATGACAAGGCAAGTCATACCCTGGAGTTTGGTCCCTCTCTCCCTCTTTTTTCACGCCTCTTCATACATGTAGGTCAGAAATGCCCTTTTTAACTGTTGCAGCAAATTTATGTCTGGGTAGATCCAGACTATCTGGTGCGAGATTTTAGTAATGCCATCTTTGACTGATCGTTTCGGAGCGCTCTACTGAGAGGTAGAGGTTGCATCTTTTCCTTTCTCAACATCTCTCTCTTTCTCTCTATCAGGAGAGTCCAACAACCAGTCAAAGATGGCATAAGTACAGCGGTCTCGTGAACAGTTAAATATTGTGACGTTGTAAGTCAGCCTGAAGCATAACATAACACTCGCGGTACAATAACATCGGCGTGCAGGGCTGGCTATCTTATCAGCGGTTCTAAAGTGCGCAGTTTATACGTACATTGTATATGTGCATTTTATTGGCCATTGTGATTATTCATTATTCTCGGACGCCTTTTATATGTGGTGCAGTTCAACACGGTTGTTTTGTGCTGCAAGTTGGATGAAAAGGATTGTTCCGCTTCTGCGTGCAGCCACAAAGTTTCTCGGGTCTCTTTTTTTCGCCAATTCGCACGATGTTATAGCAGACATCACGTTTCTCCTTATAACAAAGCGTTTCGCATTTAATTTATTGGTCCATGGATTTCTAGAGGGGCAATAGGTGGGCTTTTTTTTTTAAGTGGAGGGGCAAATGCAAGAAAAACAGACATGCTTCTCCTCCTATATAAATGGACAGGGAAGGCAAGTCTTATATTTGTAATTGCGCACCCTAGTCTAAGCTGTGTATCTTGTCCATATTCCTAGCATATTCTGGGCTATTCGCGTTGCACATGCAGTCTGGTCAGAACTTGTTATTTACAACACTCAAATCTCGATATAACGAATCCAGATATAAAGAAATATCGGTTATAACGAAGTATATGAAAAGTAGTCTTGCAATAGATATAGTCTTAGGAATATACCTTTATAACGAACCTGTGTAAGATGCCAATTCGTTTTAATGATGCTTGAGTGTACTTCTTCATTCGTGAAACTATGATGGTGTACTTTGTGCATTGTACATTTATGGGCAAAAATGCGATGTAAGAGCAAAATAAGTAGACTTGTAGCAAATCGCAGTGGTGATAACTTTCTATAGGCTTTCGACACAAGGAGGTGCACCTTATGCTGAGCGCTAACTGTGCAACGCTGGTTAGCTGGTTCGTGAGTGAAAACAGCTGCTAGAAAAGACGGAGGCACGTACACATGCCACTACAATCCAAATGTTACACACTCGCACTTCGATATTATGCACCCAGATACAGTCGAATCACGATATTTCGAACATGAAGGGGCCTGAAAATTTGTTCGAATCAAAGGAAGCTCGAATTAATGAAACTTGAATGAACGGAAGGCTTACCATGCAGTCGCGCATGTACATTGAGCTAACACACGAGGAAAAGTTTCAGAAGACTTACATTTATTCACAAATCACAGGACATCTGTCATTAATCCGTCAGTAATCTGTGATGCGCATCTGCACACGTTTGCCTTGCAGCGTGTCAAGTGATTTCGCAGGTAGTTTGCAAAGCATTTCTGCTTCGACTTTAGCATTCTCCTGGCAAGAGAAGTTGCGTGCGGAAATGTAGCCGTAGAAGTCGTAGTGTAGCCACCACATGACGAGAAAGGAGGAATGTCTCCTTGCGGAGAAAAGCAGATCGGCGTTTGAAAGAGAATAAACACTCCGTGGCAGTTTTTTTTTTTTTTCTCTTTGCGCACGGCGTTAAAAGGAGAAGGGTCTTTACGTGGCAGGAACGAAAAAGGGAGAATCGTGGCTCAGGTGTGTCTGCATTGGCATTTGAGAGAGAGAGCAATATTCCGCGGCAGCCGTTTCCTTGCTTTTATTCTTTTCCTCCTTCGCGCACCACGTTGAGGTATCAGAGATGCCACTGCAGGATTTGCCGTTGTGCCGAGAGCATTTTCGGAGCGCGGTATGTTTGAATTAACCGTCGAAGTGCTTGCGCATTCGGATTGCAGGAAGTTTTCGCCCATTGGAATACACATGGCTTTGACGAAACCACAGCACGAGTTTGAATTAACCGGAAGTTTGAATTAACCAGAAGTTTGAATTAACCGGAAGTTTGAATTAACCGGAAGTTTGAATTAACCGGAAGTTTGAATTAACCGGAAGTTTGAATTAACCGGAAGTTTGAATTAACCGGAAGTTTGAATTAACCGGAAGTTTGAATTAAGCGTGTCTGAATTAAGCGTGTTTGAATTAAGCGTGTCTGAATTAAGCGTGTTTGAATTAATGAGATTTGATTGTATAAAGAAACATCGGTTTTAATGAAGTAAAGAAAGAATAGTTATATATACTATAGCGTTAGAAATATACCTTTATAACAAATTTTCGGATATAACGAACTTATTTTTGTGTGAGATACAATCTTATTATAAGGAGGTTTGAGTGTAGTTTGTTTGTGCATGGCGTCAGACGTTGTGCTCAACAGTTCTTGACGTTGAACATTAGACATGATAGCCGGACGAATATTTGCCAAACATGTTCACGAATGGTCATATTCATGGGCGGACTTGATCATGAAGTACAAAGTAGAAGCTTTAAAGGTTGTTTGTTACTGTGACCTATTGGTTATGAACACGGCTTCCCTTATCTAATAGTTTTGTGCTCTGTTCTGCAGGAGCCTGAAGAACAACGCAGCAGGCATCGAACAGGAGCTGACAGAGTTCCTCAGCAGTCACCAGCAGCACATGGAACTGCTCGAGAGGTGACACGCTTTTATTTTGCCATATTCTGTTTGGTGAATGCTCCTGTTGAATTTGATTGCACTTTCGGGGTTTTTTTTTTTTTTTGAAAATTTTTGAAAAACCTTGTGTTTTGTCTCGTGGCTCGTGAATATCTCGTGGCTCGCGAAAGTTGCTTTCAATTTTCAAAGAAAATATAAATTGGGCCTCACCCTCAGTACAGTTCACCTCAGTAGAGTTCACGAATCTTTCGCACATTCGGGAGCATTCGGAAGTAGTCGCAACACCTGCCAAAAGCCACACAATTAGTATGTCTGCAACTCCAAATGGTCTTGAGCCATATGAAAAATAATGGGCATGTTTTTTAGAGTGCTCACATTTTTGGATAATTCAGCTGTCTCAAGGAACCTCAATTGATTGATTGATATGTGGTGTTTAACGTCTAAAAACCACCATATGGTTATGAGAGACGCCGTAGTGGAGGGCTCCGCAAATTTCGACCACCTGGGGTTCTTTAATGTGCCCCCAAATCTGAGCACACGGGCCTACAACATTTCCACCTCCATCGGAAATGTAGCCGCCGTAGCCGGGATTCAATCACGCGACCTGCCGGTCAGCAGCCGAGTAGCTTAGCCACTAGACCACCGCCGTGGGGCACAAAGAACCTCAAAAAGTGGATGTCGACTGTAGTGTGAGTTCTCGAAGCAATCCGTGCTTATGAAACACATGGACGTAGTAGAAGCAAGCCGTCAGGCAAACAAACGTGTACATTTATTTGCCACTTTTACTACAGCGAGCTCTGCAGCTGAACCTAATAAACACCTTTGTAAACATGACAAATAGCCCTATAAGATGTCGGTACAGTACACAAGGATCGTAACACAGTCTATGTCCAATTTTTCAAACGCCCGAAATTTCAGACATGCCTGATTTTCCGGGTTCATATGTGGCACTGTCAAGTTCCCCATGGAGTCAATTTATCAAGAAGTTTGAAATTCTGAACGTTTATACCTTTCATCATCCAATTTTCCGGACTCTTTACTGCTAACCACAGACTAAAAAGTCGTGATCAACGTTGCCATCTTGGTTATTTTCGGACTGTTACGACTCGCACCACTGCCGACACTCTTGTGTAGTGCGCCGAGGCCACTGGCCGCCAAGGTTGTTTTGTAGTGTGTCCCTCAGCTGGCGGCTGCTTCTGTGCAGAGCTGATATACGAGTGGACAAGACGACGGTGATTTGAGGCAAGGTTTATGCGCAGCATAGAAATAGAGGCGTTTCATATTCGGCACTGGGGCCGACAGCTTAGAGATTCGAAGAGCCAAGATGTCTTCTCTCTGATGCATACGTCGGCTGCTGGCGACACGCCGCTTGGCTGTTTTTATAAGCCCCGGGTGAAACCTTACGTCACCAACGTCCAAACAAAAGCGCCGCTGGCCGTGATATCAGATTTCTCCAGTTGGAAACCGCCGCTGGGTTGCACCCATGGACGAGTGATGTTGCCATGCATTGCGCAAGACTCGCCAGACTGGATGGTGCTGCTTGCGTCGTCGAGCTACTATTGGGCCCGTGGGCTGAGGGAGCTCGCCGTGCGTTGCGCAAGACAGACCGGCGCCGCCGGGCTTGCTCGCTGGCCTTGACACAGATTGCCTTTGCAGAGGCAGTATCGTTGGTCTGGACTCCCAGGTGTAACAGGACCCTCGAATCCATTGTGCCACGGTTGCCGTACCCTCGAAAACGAAAATGCCGCAATCCGGCTCGTGCCAATACGTTGCCAGCCGTAGCTTAGGCCACATGATGCTATGCTTCGACGGTGGGAAAAACTACACTGTTGACCTATGGCCTGCTGTCGGCATGCTTGCAGACTCGTGGAATGCGGCTACTTAACAGATCCTCTGGAACTGTATTCGCCATGCGAGATTCATACTGCATGCCAAGGGCCGAAGTGGACAGCGTGTGTGACAAGATTCCATGTGCGGACGTTGCCTTCGACAGCACGCTGCCAGTGTTTTGATTCCAGCTGGGTAACCTTTGAGGTCTGCGCTGATGCTGACAAAGACCTCGATCTGTGTGGGGAATTGACCCATGATGAAATCATTTTTCAAACTTTGGAGGATTTCGACGACTCCAACACAGAGATTGAAGAGCCAGCGCTTACACAGCCAACGAGCTCGAAGTTGATGCAAGCACAGACACTGCCATCCGTGTAAAGCAATAACGTAAATGAAATTAAGGCACACATCATCGTCGGCAAGTGGAACGTCATGTAAATGAAAATAAGCAACCTTTTTTTTTTGTGCCTAAGTGTTTACAAATGCAGTAGCGCCGGCCCCATTAGAAGAAGAACGGCTATTTGGGCTAGTTGGTTTGAATTAGTTTTTTCTTTTCTTTGCTTTAGCTCTTTTAAGAGCCATCTAAACAATGCATTTGCTGAATTGCAATGAGAACCCCGTACTCCTGCTGCGACTCTCTCTGTCAGCGAAAAATAAATATTAAAAAGTGTGTGTTTGCTTGTATTAGTTTTTCAGTACTGCCCGATTTTGCAGACGTTATCGGGGTCCCTTGAGGGTCCGGGAAATTGGACGTTGATTGTACAATGTACCATGAATGCGGTGTAATTGACATCTGACCCATTATGAGGGCCTGTGAGAATGGACGGGGGTATTGTATCCGCCGGCTCTTGATACCACAGTGATACCAGCCGCGTGACACTGCTGGTATCACTGTGGGAGCATGACCCCGCCTCTTGGTCCACTGCATTTAAGCCAACTATGACTAATCTGTGAGGTACATGTGCGTGATGAGCTGAAAAGCAGTTGTAGCACCCCAACAAGTTTTGCATTTCCCCTGAAAAGGTGGTTTCGAGGCATAGCGGCTTTGCGCTGTCAATGTTACTGTGGAAAAATGAGTCTCTTCGAAGGGGCCCGCAAATTTGTTAGAATTAAAAGAAGTTCGAATTAATGAAAGCTGAATAAACGGAGGGCTCTTCATGCAGTGGCGCATGTGCATTGAGCTAACACAGGAGGGGGAAGTATTAGAAGACTTAAATTTATTCACAAATCGCAGTTCATCTGAAGTAATCACTGAAGTAATCGGTGATGCACGTCTGCACACGTTTGCCTTGCAGCGAGTCAATCAATTTCGCACGCAGCTTGCAAAGCGTTTCTACTTCCGCTTCAGCATTTCCTGGCAAGAGATGTTGCGCGCGGAAATGTCCAGCGCTGACACTTTCTAAAGACCACAACGACTGCATAGCGGAGGCTACGCAGCTGCAGCATGGCCAGCATGATACGAGAAAGGAGGGAGCATCTCCACGCAGAGAGAAGCAGATCAGCATTTGAGAGCCACTCCACGGCATCTTTTTTTTGCCCCCCCTCAAGGCGCAGAGCCGTGCTCCCGCAAGGGGCAAGGGCTGCATAAGATAGTGCTTTTCTCCTTTCCTTCAACCACACATTCATTCAACCCAGCGACAGCTTTCTTTTTTTTTTTCCCTCTCTCCCTTCGCGCGCGGCGTTGGAAGGAGAAGGGTCTTTGCGTGGCAGGGACTTAGAAGTGTGGCAGCTTGGGTTAGTTGGTATGGCATGACGATAGTTAGAGTGTGAGAACAGAACGACGACACAGAGGTCCTTCATGTCCTTCTTGTCTCTGTGTCTTCTTTCTGTTCTCGCGCTATAACTATTGTCATGGCAGGGACGGAAAAGGGAGAAGTGTGACACGGGGGCGTCGCAGATCGGCATTTGAGAGAGAGCAAACATTCCACTGTAGCCTTTTCTTTCCTTTCTTTTCATTTCCTTCGCGCACAGGGTTGAGGTTTTGCAGGTGCCGCCGCGTGGTTGGGCGGGGTGCTGAGAGCATTTTCGGAGTGCGGTATGTTCGAAGTAACCGTCGCAAGTGCTTGCGCGTTCGAATTACTGGACGTTTTCGCCCATTGGAATACATATAGCTTTGACGGGACATCATCGCGGGTTCGAATTAACCAGAAGTTTGAATTAAGCATGTTCGTATTACTGAGATTCGACTGTACATGCCTTATAAAAATGAATTAATGATTATTTTTTACATTGTGGTTAAGGCTATATTGAAGTGTGCTTAAGGCTATATTGAAGCTAATGTTATCACGGTTTAACCATTCTTGTTGCTATTTTGGTTTATTGTAGTGTGGAAGAAGATATTGTGCTGCTAGGAAAAATTCCCGTTCTTCCTGCCCTGCTGTCGGCTGAGCAGCAGGACGAACAGAGAGGCATGATGCTGCTAGACTGGATCAACTCGACGGTGAGAAAAAGCTGGTCTGTTCACTAGCATTCGCCATTGGCACATAGGACGTTTCTGAGCATCGCCGATCGGTTGCAGCGAATGGAGTCGATGCTCCGGCGATTTCCCGGGAAACCGCTTTTGATCACTGATAAGCCATCAGCCGGCGCGTTCAGCTTGGCTTTATTTATTATTTTCTTAATGCAGAAAACCGCGTTGTTGCTACTGAGATGTCGGATCGAGCGCTGATGGGAAAACTCCGAGAACATAGTGACAACAGCAGATCTTGCACTGCGCCGAGAGTTCGGGGGACTGTAGACTTCGTGATGGGCCACTTAGCTTTGACAACACGACGACGCGTTAGATGCAATGCAATTAATGTGATAGCAACAAATTGTAATGTTTTACCAAGTGGGGCTGGCAGCCAACTATTTTGGATCCGATATCGTGGAACTCCTGCAAAACGCTGGTGTAAGCAAATACGGCCGCTCCAGGGAGAAGTGCTCTTTTCACACAACTTCTTCGCGTTGAAAGAAGACTGATGCTTGTTGAGATAGCACGTGCGTCAGCAATCGCAACTGCTACTCGCCAACGCACCCCCCCTCTCGCCCTTGCGTTTCTATCAGGCAGTTTTATCACGTGGGGATGTTATCATATGCGCCCTCCAGGCGATGGAGATGGGCTGGCTCATTTGATCTCTACTTCAGCAGCGCTCGCGTGCTTTTACCCGCTCGTAAGAGTTGCGATTTGCGGGGAGCATGTTATCAATATGGGCTTGTTATGGAACATAGCGGCAATAGCGAAAACCCGGCAAGAGTGTTCATTTAAATGCTGTCGCAATGATAGCATAGTTTCTAACCGCCGAACAAGTGTTTCGGGTGAGCTCTGCCTTCAGTTACCTTTTTGTTTCATTTGTGTGTTTACTTTTCGAATTTTCTGCTGACCCTGCATATAGAGAAATCTTCTTTATTATAATTTTTAGGGGACTCTTGCCAATTTCGTTATATCCAGGTTTATCTGTTTCACACACTATTGGTTATGATGAAGTAAATGAAGAATAGCCTTGCAATAAATATGGGTTTACGAATATACCTTTATAACAAATTTTTGGATGTAACAAATTTATTTTTCCATAATATGCAACTTTGTTATCACAATAAAGTCTGAGTGTGTCGTATGTAGTTTTTAATCTGTGAAAATCGTTCTCCGAGGGGGCTGTCAGCCTAACTTATGAGCCAATGTCGCCAGGATACGAAAAATATACGTTAAGATCTACAATGTCATGCACGTAGATTTTGCCTCAGACTAAAAATGCAATTTTATCCTTTATTGCTCTTCTAATAATCTTATGAACGTGAAATTATGTTAGTTCTCAGAGTATAGTCAATCAATCTAAACTTATTCATTATTTCACTTTGAAAAGCATGCCACAGCCGGTACTGACATGTGAAAAATGCTACCTGTCATGGCTGGTTTCTTTTCATGCTGTTGTGACGACAACAACAAAAACTGTGGTGCTTCTTTGTTTTGTCGCTACAGGATAGCAAAAGCAGCTTGAAGGAGATGGCCAGCAGCTGCAAGGTGTGCCTAAAGCAGGTGGGTCTGGCTTTAGAAGAGCAACTCAACGATTTGTTGTCTCGGATTCTGCCGATATTGATGAAATTTTAACCGTGTGTTCTTTTGGGTGCTTTGAGGATGTTTGCCCAACAGTACGACTTGACAGTTTTTCTGAAAATTACTACTGTGAAAGCTCATTAGTTTAGATTTCGTTGGAGCGGAATAGCTGTCTGAATCAACCGAAATCCATATAAAAAATATCGAGAAAATAAATAAATCTGTTGCAACAATGCTCTACAATTTTTTTTTTTCAGGAATATGCAAGTCCAGTAATCATTTTGCATAAAAGACATGCAAAAGCTGCAATTTTCATTTCTTTGAAAATTCGTTTTACAATAAGAACTGAGGTCCATAGCCCCGTATCTTAATCCGAAACGTGCTCTATACACATACCTTGTCAGTACCAACAACACTTGAATGAATGGCAACCGCGCCTTTCTGAAAGTCTGCAGCCACTCGGGCTCTTCGCAAACGCTACTATTGCCTCTTTGCAATGCAAGTTTGCGCTACTTCACACTCAACGTGCTGTGAGCATCATTCAGATTAACTCTTTCGTTACCACGCCTATTCAAATCGATCACCTGTTATCGAAGCTTTTTGGTCATTGATTTTGGCACATGAAATTTCTTTCTCGTGCACCCATAACTTTCTAGTAGTTAGTTCAGCCACTAAACTTTCAAAATATTTTTGAATTTGCTGTACTTCATTTATTTATTTATTTATTCATTCATTTATTTATGGATACAGGCAGCTCTCACATAGGGCTGCGTGTGTAGTTGGAAAAACATTGCTTGTGTAGTTGGGAAAATGCACTAGGTTGGCGAACTTGAATAATTGCGTGCCCCTCATGATTATGCTACAATAACATCCAAGTTCTGTAATGAAAAGAAACTTTGCAAGCCAAATATCAAATTGATGTTTTAGCTATGCAATTTGACTGAGTTTAGCTGTAATAATTGTCGGAAATTTATGGCTCTAATAAATAGAGATCTGTTGCGAGAAGTCAGGGAAAATTAATTCTACAAAAAAATATTTCCCAAGGTTCGCCGTATGTATAAAGTATGCAGGTGGCTCTTGCAGCCAGTTTCCAGCCACTTTAGTTTTGTTTGCATCGTTATATCAGGCAGAGAGTCACATGTAGTGTCATTAGTCGCTCCTATTACGCGGTCGCCACATGCGCACGGGTGCTCAGTCAGCGCTGCAAAACACATGCGCTGCTTGAAACTGTCTTGCGACCCCAGCTAAATTGAGTGAGAACGAGCTGAAATTTCATGGATGACAGCATCTCGGCTTTAAGTTTTATTGCGGCGGTGTTTTGCGTCAGCTCGAGACATCCATAGCCGTTCATGGGTTCGTTTTGTTTACATTCTCAAGTTATCTCCTCCGCCACAAGTGCGTATAGCTTCTGACATTTGTGCATAATCTTATAGTTACTCAGGTTATGTGCGTGGTGCACACTTCGCTAGGGCGCGGTGTGGTGACGCTGGCTGCAGAGCTTCTCCTAACGGCAAGAAGGCCCCCAGAGAACATCTTGGCCCTGGCTACGGAGAAGAGCGAAACATTTTAAAACTGCGTGCGATATTGTTCTTCTTTTATTACTATATGCATAAAGATGCCTAGGAATATGCTTGGATGCATATATTGGAACGCCAACCTATGCGGAGTGAGTTGGCTCATGAAAAGAGGTGACGGTAGATTAAATAGCAAAGTTCATTTGACTTCTCATTTATAGAAGGATTATTCACATCACGGGTATCCATTCATATTGGAATACCTAGAGACTCTTATCGCAAGGCAACATAAATTTACTGAGAAGAGTGTACGAGCACACTTGTGTCTCGTGAAAAACTATGCGATGCTTCACCGCATGGCATGAGCAATAAAGCAGCGCCTCGGTTCTGATTTTCTTTGTCTATGAGAAGAGAAACATTTTGTACAACATTAATTATTTTTATTCTTTTCCTGGGTCACTTATCTTCAAAACGCTTATTCTCAATTTCCTTTGTTTTGAATATTTTTGCATATATATAGCGTCTTTTTATTCCACTGTTTACCAGCTGGTGACGAAAAATTTCTCAATTTTCACGTTTTTATTCTTCTAAAATATTTTTGTTTGAAACAATCTTCCAGAGACATATAAAAAACAATCATTCTTGCGCGGCAATGAAAGAGTCAAGGGAGATACAGCCAGAGATAATCATTTTGACTGCCATTAAACAATGCATATGCGGGTCAGGACTGGAAAACATGTCCTAATGATTGGATTTTTCAAATTAACGAGTGCCATATTAACAAGCTTTTACCGTATGAATATTGGCTGTGCATATATCATATTAACTGGTCTAATGAATGCACTCGCATAATAAACGCACCCCGAACTGCAGTTGTTGCAATAGAGATTTTTTTTTTCCTCACGTAATAAATGCACCCATACATTCATTTGCTGCAGTCCCGCTAACCAACTCATGGTGCCTCCTTGCCCTTGGATCTCTTCTGTTTTTTATTATTGTGCCGACCACCCTCGGCCACCTCTGCTCTCTCCCTCCTCTCCTTGGCCCACTGCCACACACCGTATTGTTTTTCTTTCCATCTGTGCGCGGCATGTCCCCAGTCTTTTGTAATTATCTAAGCACCACAGCGGGGTTCACGAATGGTGCGGGTGTAGAGACATCGCAGCTGATAAGCACACAGTGAGCAAAGGTAACGAAACTGCCCGCTCCAAGCGACAGCCACTTCCGGCAAATAGGAAACATTGAGGCCCAACCACAAGCACGCAATTTTCGAGCGGCGACGACAGGATTTGCTGTCACCACGGGGGTCGCGAAGGGCCATTCGTCGCCATCACGTCATAGGTTTCTGGAAAACCAGAAAAGAAAAGCTTGTGGGCCAGAAAAGATAGTGGCTACCGTATTTACTCGATTCTACCGCGCCCTCGATATCAACGCGCACCTAATTTTCTCGCTGGCCCGCACGATCACGCCACTTGAAAAAACGACTCCTTTCGGAGCGTCTTCTATTTAAATATGAGGTACGGGCGAAGCCTTGTGCCCATCTGACGTGTAACAGAGCATTGCCGTCACTGTAGTTTTACCGTGGACTGATGTCAGCACGCGAACTTGCTTCGCCCCCTTCTTCTCGACGGTTGTGGTGCCAGGCATGTCGAAATAAAGAGGCGGCTGATTGGCATTCCGATTCGCCCAAGCAGGTAGCCGTTGTTGTGCCACAAGTTTAGAACGAATCTCTGAAAACTGTGAAGCTTTTCATCGTACTCCTCCGCAAATCTTTTCGCATATGCCCGTTCCCCTTCGGAGGCAAAAGCCTTTCCTCTTCATAAAGTTAGTTAGCCAGCACCTGCTTGCCTTTAAACTGGCTCCGCATTAGACCTTTTTCTAAGGCTAATTGCATAGCCCGCACTTCGAGCAGTTCTGTCGTCACTGGCCGCTGTGCCACTCGGTGCTCAAGCAATACTCGCCGAGCAGCTCTTTAATTTGCGGAAACCGACCCTGCTGTGGTCCACTGAAGCCTTTGCGTGAAGCTCTGTTGTCGACAATCTCCTGCTTTCGTTTACGCCAGTCCCTCACGCACGTTTCAGGAACTCCTGAACGACCGCGATGCGGCCCGATTTCCGTCCGTTTCTGCACACGCGATAACTTTTCTTTTAAAAGCGGCATCGTGGTGCACTCGAGTTTTTGGAGTCGGCCCTTCCATGCCGTCGATGCTAATGCACTACAAGATGACGAACTCCTCAGCACACGTACGAAGTGCTGCACATAGGAAACACATAGGCAGAAATGGCCGACGCGCCATGCCGACGCACGTAGGGGGTGCCCATTTTGGAAATGTCGATGGCAATAGAATGACCGTATTCATTTTTTTTTTTTCGTACTTGATTCTAACGCGCATGCGATTTATGAACTCGCTTGACCGGAAAAAAGGTGCACGTTAGATTCGAGTAATTACGGTATTTCCACAACATTGTAGCACCCCCAATTCTCGCTTTGGTTGTATTTCGCTCTTCGTGCTTGATACCTGCACGTACTTCAAGGAACGCAAGATATAGGCTACCTTTTCTACAGTAACTTTTCATGTGGACAGCGAGGCAGCAGCTGTATTTTGTCGTTATTCTGGTTATCGGCGATTTGTTCTGATGCTTCGGTGGTAGCTTACTGCAATGTCGGTTACTTGCTACAATGTCAACGGTGGCGGCGCAGTCATCATCTGAGGTTGCTGTGAAGTTGCAGTGTGCGTCTTAGCGCACGCTTCTGTGTACCCCTTGAGATCATAGCAGATGTCACTGGTGTGGTTAAACAGTTGCGAGAAAAGATAGCCGCGAAACGCTTTTATGGCTTGCGCGGGGACAGCTTGCAGAAGCTTGCAGAGACATCGATTCTTTGAAGAAGTAACAATGAACACACACAGCTTGCCTTTGAAGCATACCACATCAAGAGAAAGGGAGCTGATTGTATCAGTGATACATCTATATCTTTGTAACCCTCTGAACATCAATTCATGTGTGCATATCTTTGATAGAAAGCTGTTTTGCTTATACAGTACGTCTTGTTACGTGTGCACATGCAAGGTTTGTGGTTGTGGCATTCGTATGTGTTGTCACGCGAAAAATAAATTGGTTGTTACTAAGTGCCAGTGCTCGTTTCTTCTTTGCAGCTTGTCTTTAATTGCACATAAGTTTCTCTCTAAGTAAATCTTTGATGTTGCACTAGCCCTCGGTACAGCCGCATTCTTGTTTGGACTAAAAGCGGAAAACATTTACGTGTGCACAGCTTGTTGCAGAAGGCCTGGAGAAGTGCCGCACGGATTTGCAGAAAGTGATGATACTGGTGGACAATCAGGACATGCTGCAGATTCGCGGTGTCGAAGAGTGGCTGACGAACCTCGACGAGCTCTTGGACAGAGCCAGGAAGCTGGTGCAGCATCAGCAGGATTACCAGCAGGTTTGTAGAGCCTCGCTGTCTTCCGTCGAGCAGTACAGTAGGAAACATGATCCAGTAGGCAGCGTTTGAACAGCATCTGCAACTGAACGTGAAAGTGTGAAAGAGGAGGGATCGATTGAGGGTCTGTTTCTACACTCGGACCTCAATACAACGAACACAAATGTAACAAAGTATCGATTATAGTGAGAAGTAGTGTTGTAGTAGAGACAGTGTTAGAAATAACCTTTGTAACGAATATTCTCGGATATAACAAACTTATTTTCTTATGAAACGTGGTTATAGTGAGGTGCGAGTGTATTGTTAGACACCACCTAATGACACAGGCAGACCGTGAAGCTAAGGAACTTATGGAGGGCAATACCTGTATGCTTTAACTGCAGTGTAGTAAACGAATTATTGGTTATAACAAAGTAATTAAAACACAGTTTTGTCATATATACAGGATGACGAATACTAATTCATAATGTTTTATATTATTTTGGATTTTTGGAAGTTTTTTATGCAAATGTGGATTTGTTAAAATAATGGGATTAAAGTGTCTCACAACAATGGATTTGAACTAAAGAGGAGGCTACCCCGAAGGGTCAACTTTTTTTCATTTGTTGAAACATTTTAAGGAAATTCGCAAGATACACTTATATCAAATTAATTTAAAGAACTGCAAAGTTGGGATCGGCTGTAGTTAGCGTGGTTCTATTTGTGGCTGGTCAAGTAGCTCAAATCCCGGGAAAATTTTCCTGAACCGGGAGAACAGTAAGAAAGTGGCTCGTTCTGGAGGAAGTTTTAATACATTAGTCTATGGAATGCAGGTGGGGAATCGAAAGAATGTTATTTGAAGCGGAAATTTTGTTTTAGCGAAGTCTGACTTTTCGATTTTTATAATTGTTCTGCCTGGATGTCACTTAGTCTTGTAATATTCTTTGGCTTAATCTCCTAATGAAAAAAGTATGCCAAAATGACCTTGTAAGTGGCGATTTTCCAGATGTTATTGAACCGACTTACAATAGTGTCGATAAGTATGTTGGCTTGTAACCATTGGCAGCTGCTGCCGGCTGTTGTATGGTGAAACAAAAGCTGCTGAAAACCTTTCCTGTAAAATGTGTCATTTTTACAGATCGTTTAAAAAATTGTGAGGCGGTCTCTTATGCATATCCCCAAGATCGCTCAAATTCTGTAGTATTGTAATTCTCATCAGTTGACCGTACTTAAGAGCCTCCTACACCAAATGCGGTTTTACGCTGCCTCTGGGGCTGGATGCATTGAAAGCTTTCTGTGCTTCACATGTGATTGACCCACCTGTGACAATGTCGTGTAACGTCATGATGAGGTTGTGGGGCGATGTCATCACGCATTGCTTTTTTTTTTTCACCAGTCAAATTGATGTCGACGCTGACAGTCATTTTGCACGTTTGACGAGGCCTCTGATGCTTTCGACCTGAATGATGATATTTGCTCTTCGTCGTATTAGGATCTTTTAGCAAGTTCCGGAAATGTAATTTGCACAAAAGCTTTTTTCAAAAATGACTGTGAGGTTGTCGTGCTTCGTTGTGGCCTGTCAGCCTACACATTGTCAACAAAGAGCCTGTCGGTCCGGGGGTTCACTGTCATGTCACTGGAAAAGAGGAGCGAGAATAGCCCCTTACCGTTTTTGCATACCGAATTTTTCTGGCTTGCTGAAAGAGCCTATTTTATATGACCGGCACGCGGACCCTATCAATCTTTTTGGTCCTTCCTTTGCCACCGCATAGGCGTTCCTGCTCAACCAGTCGAGCTTCTCCCGCTCCAAGGATTCCAGCGTCCTGCCAGACCTGTGCGAGAGCCACGTAAAGCAGCTCAGAATCATGTTGAGCACCACGAGGACCTGCGTGACATTCGATCCCGCTGTGTCGCTGCGAAGGACAAACTCTGCAGCAACCTCAAGGAACGTCTGCGGTAAGGGTTGAAAGTGATGCGTGGAGGTGTCCTACAGAGAATACTGATCTTTCTGATACACTCAAACCTCATCATAACGAAGTTGCATCCTACACAGAAATAGGTTCGTTTTATCCAAAAATTTGTTATAAAGGTATAATGTTTAGGGACAATAAAGGGCAAAATGATTTTTCGCGTAATATTGAAGTACACTTTCACAATCCAAAAAGCACCACTTTTACCGCGACACAACTCTTAGTGAGAAAACGTGCGAAAATAAAGTGCAGGTGGTGACGCCACTTTGAGCTTGCCGCACCGAACACAAAGACGTAAGAAATTTTGAAGGCGTCAACAGGGTCCTACATAGCTCCCAATCGATAAAAATAAGACCTTCGAGCACGGATATGCCGAACTCGAAAGGGATCGCGTATTAGTTCGATATACGAAAAATTTAATATAAAAAATGGAGGCCCCGAGAGCTTACCTGTAGCCGATCATCACCTAGAATAGGCACATTCAAAAACGACAACTAATGATAACTAACAATCGCTAATCTTGGCCTGCTTCTTTCTTTTGAAATGTTGAAGATGCTAGGCTCGACTTTATTAGCCCGGTTCCCTTCATGTGGTCGATACAATGGTGAATGATGCCAAATGCTGGCGCCACTTCAGCGGCAGCATACATGCGTGTAGCCAGTGCCTCGACCGAACGATTCTCCTCGCCACATGCGCTGTCGGCCTGGACATTGCAGTCCACTTCCACGAAGTGGTTGGCGGATACTTCGTGTGGAACTGCTGCTGGAAAGCGGGACGACAACTCGCAAAACGCGTCTTCTATGCGCTCGTCGTCGCTGTCTTCACCAGTTTCTGCAAGTTACGCCGTCTTGAAGCTTGCCTAGCGGAAGCAGTTGATCACTGTGTCCGTCTTCGCGTCTCACCAGGCATTGAAGATCTCCATGGGAGAAAACTTCGCAGAGATCTTCGGCCACTCTTTGGTCATCCACTACTGGATGTTGTTGCTGGTCATCCACTACTGGATCCACCCCTTGTTGTTGGCGAAGTTGTTTCATGTGCAGTGGCAAACCATTTGGCCTTGGCGATCAGCATCGGGCCATCCACCGGAATGTTCCTCGCGCGCACTTCTAAAAACCAGGCCTAAAGTGCTTTTTCTACATTCCTGTGCGCAGAAGCGCGCGCATGACAGGCTCCCGACGTTTGCTGCTCCGCCGCCTTTGCCTTGATATCTGCCTTGTTTTTCAACAAGGTACTCTGAGTGCTCTGTGGTATCCCGTAATCGTTCGTCACGGTTGAACATTTCTCGCCCACCTCAACCCGCTGAATAGCCTTCAGCTTCGTCGCAAAGTCAAGGGTATTGCGCGTCTTGACGCTGGCCATAGCTACACGAGAAGTGGACAATTCAAGGAGTTCGTAGTGGCTTTGCACACCACACATGCAAAAGAGAAATGCTGCACATGTGGTGGTACGTAGGCGAAGTGACAGTGAAAGCAGCAAAGCGCTCACGAGACGATGGCCACCAGCAAAACGCGCGAGCTGTGGTTAGCTGATCAAAAGAGCAACAAAAATAAAAGAAACGGCCAAAGGAGGAGGAGGTCGGCTCCTTCGTTTCTGCTCTCCAAGCTTGATCAGAAAGAAAAACTAAAAAAAAGCTGTTCCGCAAGTTAGATTGTGCAGGCCGAGCCATCTCGCCCTTCTCTTTTTTCGAGCGTTTCGGGTTTTTTGCGGAGGCTGTCGCGTAGATCGCGGGGGAGGGAGGGGGCGAGTGCTGAAGCGCGCCTTCCAGCTCTGCGGCGCCCGAAAGGTGGGTAAAAATACCGTTCTATATAAACGTGCTAATATCTATACTTTTACAAAGGAATTTCAAGGGTATAACTTCCCAGTTCGATATACCCGAAAATTTGATATATGTAGGTTCGATATAACTGTGTTCGCCTGTATGGTGCTGAAACCTCACGATGCATTCACTTATTGAAATGTTCTCTATTACCAAGTTTCTTCTCACACCATGACTGGTTCTTATGATGCTGTGTTAGTGTAATCTGTTTATAATGGAAAAATCGGTTTCCTCCAGTGTCCCTTAGAATAAAAAATCCGATCACAATAGCACACTATAAATTATGGATAAAAGTTGGTCCTGGTTAAGAGGGCGAGTTGTCACTGACTTTCAAGATGAAATGTGGGAGTCACGAGCAGTGTTGCAGAATGTGTGCCTCCATTCCATTCCAATTCTATTCTGGGAATAACAACTTGCCCCGATCCCATTCCTTTCGATTTCTCGGAATGCAATTTTCATTCCGGGAATGGCTGGGCACTGCAATTTCATACCTGTCATTCCTCAACGTAGAAAAGATATCATGGTACATTTATTGAGCTAAGAATGGACGTCCTGTAAAGCTGATGTCATCGCATGCATTACTAACTGATAAATTATGCAAAACACGCTTCTAAGGCAGAGGAATAGTAACATGGTGGCATATTGTGTGCGGTACAACCACCCTACTAATTCCCACAGGGTCGGTTCTCTCGCTACCTGTAGTATTTGCATGGGCACTAAGTTTGAACGAACTGTAACGTTTAAATATTTTTTTGGCTTAAACATGTTAATGCTAAAATGATGTCGTAATGCATTTTTATGCTTTAACTAGTGTTCACGAACACAAAGCAGTTTTTCCACGCTCCTGGAGTAGTCGTCAGTATTGAGAAAACTAGGATTTGGTTAAGGGGGAACAAAACTCTTTCATGTGCTGGTGTTAGCGGGAACAGTGCACAGCTCGGGCACCTTGGACCATTGCATCGAATATGGAACACAGGGCCGCAGTGCTCGTCAGCACTCGCGAAGCTCAAGTGCGCCAAGCAAGCACGGATTGGTTGAGGAGAACTTGCTGTGTTTGCCTGTGTGCACGTATGGAATGTCCCCCCTCGTCGCAAATGTTGTGTACGTATGCCGGGTACTTGACTGCTGGTGGGATAAAGCTGTGTATAGAGTACTCGCTATTTTTTGTAACTTGTATACACAAGACAAGAGCTGCTGGAAGAGCACTTTACGGAGCTGGGTCGTTGTATGTGCTCGTAGCTTGGCGGAACGAAGGAAAAAACCATGAATGGCGTAACCACCCGTATCATACGTAGCATATTGGCTCATGTCTCAATCGTAAGTGCAGAGGACCTGTGGGACCTGGGCTGTCGTTTGCTGCTAGAAAAAAAGGGCGACTGTGAAATACCAGGAAAGGAAAATCTTAGAAGCAAAACAGAAAGAGCAAGAAAAAGAAATGGAGGAAGGAATAAAGAGAAGGAAAAAGAGAGGAATAAAGAAAAAGAAAATGCAAGAGAAACGGAGAAGGCTGCCCAGCTCCACAGTTCCTTTAAGCTCGGCACTTCCAGTGCAAAGCTGCTTTAATTTGGGAAGTATTTGTGGGCAAATGACTTACATTTATCGAGATCCCGTTGTATTTGCGCGGTGGAGGTGATGGTCTTTTCATCATGGATCCTTCTTTCTTTTTTTCTGCAGGTGGGTTATTTATGTACAGAAGATAATATCCGAGATGCAAGTGCGCATGATGTACACCATAGCGACCACCAGGCAGCTGCGCAGGCAGCTCGAGATATGTCGCCAGATCCACATGGCCCCGCACACCTACCTCTGTGCAGTCACCGAGGTCATCCGGCGACGCCACTTCTCTGACAACTTCTTGCAGGTGGGTGAAACGCGCACTTTCATTAATGAAATCTGTCATTTAGCTGACGGCAGCATGTTTCTGGTCTGGTTAGGTTGTGCTCTGGTTGTAATATGATGCAAGATTGTTCTCTCTATGTTTTCTGTTTATTGGTTGGCTTATGTGAATATTCGAATGCTTTTAATGCTTGAATGAATAATTCAGTATTTAATATCGCTTCTAATTGAATTTAAGTTATTGAAAATTTCGAGTTATTCGAGATGAAACTAATGAACTATTAGATGAACTAATGAAAGCACGTTAGTTTGCATGTAATACTTTGTAAAGATGGTTTCGTTGCATTGGAGGGGTGCCAAGCCGTGAAAGCACCTAACCAGGAGAAATTTGCATTGCTGCAAAGCCTCACTTCAAGGTTTAATAATAATAATAATAATAATAATAATAATAATAATAATAATAATAATAATAATAATAATAATAATAATAATGCCTTTTATTTCTTCAAGTAAAGCAGTAAATATGGCTAGGCCTGCTAAAGCCAATTGGAGATAAGCGGCAGAGCCTGGCAGGCAGAAAACAAATCGAGCGCTTTACATGATTGTAGTTAATTTCACAATAGATATAAGACGGAATAGCGTGCACATTAGTGTAGATGACGATATTGATGAAATCATATTACCTGCACTTTGATTCATTTTTTCAGTTTAAAAGCTCGTAATACCAACTTACATGCTCTAAAAGAAGCAAATTTTAAAACGTAACATACTTTACAGGCTATCACTTGCATTATACCGAAAGTCTAATCCTGCTACTACTAAAAGTGGTTTCCTCTTCCTTTGATGAAAAAAAAAAAAAGGCGTTTGCACAGGCCTTGCTTTAATTAGAAAAAATATTGCGCAGGTCAGTTTAATCATGACAAATATGTCCTTTTTGCTTTATAACATGCGATATATATGCTATTCACAATTATTCAACCAAAATCGCTCTTCACTTTCAATTCACTTTGAACCTAAAATTCACTATTTGCACAAGCTTAGTGTATGGTCTTGAATTCTCAGCTCTCTAAGGCTTTGTCATGTACATTAGTTGCGATACTATGGGCCACACTCTAATCTCCCCTGCATCATGCATCCCACTGGGCACATACTGCAATAAAGCGCAATGCATATTTGATAAGAGCAAGTAATATTGACACCACCCCTTCAAGTTCGTTACTAGGGTTTGTGTGTATAAATAAATTTAGATTAGAGTAGCACTAGCTTACAGCAACTACAAATTAGTCCCTCCACTGAGCAGATTCATATGGCAGACGCATATATATTTGAAGTAACCTGGCAACCGTTTGCGCACTGTTCTTCTAATATGTAATTTTTTTTGCGAAGTTTCAATCAACATTGATGAAATCAGCAGTGAAGCTTTGTGCATAAGGAAGGGTTTTTGCACCAATTTACTGAGATTAGTTTGAGAGGTCGCTAGGCCCTTAGAGGAGTGCAGCTTTTGTCTCAAAAAGACAACTAAAGTGTAAATAAAAATTAGTTTGGACTGATAAATTATGCCTTGAAAACTCTAGTGTCGCTAAATTTATCACTACAGTTAAACCTCGTTATAACGAAATTGGAGGTCCGCCGCTATTTGCTCGTTATAACCAATATTTCGTTATAGCCGTAGCGGGCATTTACCGCAAATATTATGCCACTGTACTTACCCCAAAAAAACAGCGGGCGAAATAGCATCCCGCCGCATGGTGATACGCATGCAACAAAATAACCGCATTCCCAAATAAAAAGGAAAAAGTCAAGCACCTGTATTTAATGCACTTCAAAATACACAGCTTGCATTTCAGGCAGACTTAGCTGCAAAGAAGTCCATAATTGGACGTTGATGCATCTTCCTGATGCGAACGATGGCTCGCTCAGCTGCGGTAGCAATGTTCAAGCCATCTTCGCCGCCCTCGTGAGCGCCGAAGTAGCGGCGCAGTACGTCCACCGCGTCTAATGCCTCCGACGCCATCGGCACGTTTGTCTCCTGATTTTCGACAGAGTCATCGTCACTGGTTTCGTTACGATCACTGACAGCGCGCACAATATCGTCATCCAGGAGCTGCTCCGTTGCCACCACTTCCGAGTCCGCACTCACATAGTCGCAAAACGACTCGCTGTCAATCACGACACCGGCGTCACGATGTGCCGTCCATGATGCAGCGACTTCGTTTGATGTGGCAAAACCGTCCGGCACAGTGGGCTCGTCTGATGGCTCATCGCTGGCGTCTGGTGCGGCGGCAAATGAGGCGTGTCGAAAGCAGTTTGCGATCGTGGTCGCCGTCACACTCATCCATGCCACCTGAAGCATTTCAAGCGCAGCGTACAAGTCAACATCGGTGTCTCGTTTCATCCTCATGTTGAGCAGGAGCTTGTCTATCACACGCTTGCGGTAACCTCCCTTCAGCGACATAATCACGCCTTGGTCAAGTGGCTGTATTTTTGCTGTGCAGTTGGTAGGAAGGAACAGCAGCTCGATGTTTTGAAGCACGGCAGCGGTATGGTGGGCGGTGCAGTTATCTAAAACAAGGCACACCTTGCTGTTCGCCTTTGCCAGCTTCTCGTCCTATTCGCAAAGCCATTTTGAAAAAATCTCCCTGGTCATCCAGGCTTTGCGATTGGCTACATACTTGACTGGGAGCTGCCTCTTCCCCTTAAAGCAGCGAGGGGATGCACTTTTGACAATTACGAAAATTGGCAGCGTCTCGGAGCCGGTCATGTTTGCACAAAGTAGCGCAGTGATCCGCAGCTTACTTTGTTTGCCGCCATGGCACGGCTCGCCTTTGAGGGCTAACGTCTTGTGCGGCAACATCTTGAAAAAGGGAGCGGTTTCGTCCGCGTTAAAAATATCCTCCGCGCTGTATTTTTCTAGCAGCCGCATGATGTTTTCTTTCGCCCACTTGGTAGCTTCTGCTTCGTCGACAGATTGCGATTCGCCGCAGACCGCTCTCCCGACATTGTCGTGGCGCTCCTTGAAGCGTTGCCTTTCTTGGTCCCCGGTTCGATGGCTCTTATCATAGCCGCCTTCTGATCTAGCGTTATGCGCTTTCGCTTCCCGCCTGGCGCATTCATGTTGCTGGAATCACGAGCGCAGCACGATAAAAGATAAGGCGGAAGCGGTCGAAAAAGAGAAGAAACACGCACGCAAGAGCAACGCGGCTCACGACGGCGAGCAACAACACTTGCAGAGAAAGTGACTGTGAAGAGGAAGGGGCGCTCTTTTGCGCTGCCCTCTAGGAACTGGTTACTCAAGGGGAAGGGGGTATGTAAGACTAGGAAGCGCACCTCAGCGCCATGAGAAAGGGGAGAGGGAGAATATAAAGAAGACACAAAAGAAAAGGAAAGGGCGAGACGTTCGCGGAGCTGCGGAGCGCTCCGCTGTCGGTGGTAGCCAAGCGGCGCACGTGCAGCGACCTCTCCTCTGGAAACAGAGCGTGCCGTCTGCTTTGCGCGCGTTGCTGGAGGGCGCGTGGCGGGAGTTTTGAACTGCTAAATACAGTTCTCGCGTTGCGCGTCGTCTCAAATTCGCGTTGTGCACTGTCGTGACATCGGCTCAAAATTTTTCTTCCTAACAAAATTTGTTCGTTATATCCCATAACAGGCAAATTTTGCCTCGTTAGAACGAGGTTTTGAATACATTGGTTTAATATTTCGTTATAGCCCGTCTCGTTATAACGAGGTTTAACTGTATAGGATTAATAATAATTGGTGATGTCGTGAATCTAAGTATTTTTTTGTAATTGGGTCTCAATGGCTCAACGAAGTGTACCTAAACTTGGCATGTTACATATCTTGCTACCACATTATGGCAACAGACTTCATCTTTAGTGATTAGTAACAACGTCGGCCCTAAAGGGGCCATGACACCTAATCTTTGCTCGTAATCAGTGTCTTGTGCGTTAATCCTTGGGCGTTTGCAAACAAGCTTGCAAAATTTCAGCGCATTTGGTAAAGAACTACATATGTAATGAGCATTTTTTTTTACAAACACGCGAGCAGCCATAGTGTGGCAACACTGGTGCACTTGCAAGCCGTCGTGTAACTAGTTTCCTGCTTTGAAAGGGTCTCTGTTGCAGCCAACAATTTTATCTTCGGGTCAAACATGCGTACAACCGAATTGTTAGAGCTTGCTTCAGCTCATTCAAAATTGAGCGATTCGCAGTGACTGAAACTTAAGAGAAGACAACTGCTTCACTTCATAAAGAACATGATGTCGCACACGCCAAGGTGAAATGGCAGTTGCCGCAGGTGGGCGAGGTTTGTAGCCTGCCACATTTAGGGCTTGCTTTGCAATTAAATACAGTAGACTCACAATAATTCAATCTGATAATTCATACTTTTGGTTAATTTAACAAAATTCAATTTTTTGGTTGGCCCTCTATTATTTCAATGTATTTATAGGCCTCTTAATTCAAACTCCATCAATTGGTTAATTCATACTTTTCGCAAGTCCATACCAGAAAATATAAGTTGCTTTCCCCATACTATTTAAAAATTTTTATGCTTATATAATCCTAACAGTTTAAATATAAAAATAAGCACCTCAGGCCTTCAAGAAAAAAAGACTTCGCAAGTAAACAAATGTTTGAAACGAAGCACACCCATGGTAAACAGTGATGCTTCTCGACTGGTATAGACAGGTTTGTGCTGAAGCACAAAGCTGTCTTTTTTTATTTTTTTTAAAAGGTCTGATTAGCTGTAAATGGCCAATAAACTTGTGTTCTTTGAACCTTTGCTTTCTGTCCACTGAGTGCAGTTAAGGCTTGAAGGGGCCCTGAAACACTTTTTGAGTATGGTCAGAAAACACTGCCGACCGGTAGTAAAGGCTCCCGACAACATGCCAGCCAAATGTTATAGCGCAGCACGTGGTCTTGAATTCACAATAAATGATCAAAGCCTAAAAATAGGTTTCTATTCTCTCCACCAATCGTGAAATAAGCCCGAAAATCACTCGTAGTTAGCCCATCCATCAGCCATTGGCTG